GTGAGGATACGGATTGGTGATACGAATGGGTAAAATTCCGCTTGCCAGAAGTCTCTAGTAGGCTTATGAAAGTTGACGTAGCTAACAATAGCAATTATCCTGATGTATTATTAATGCCTGGTTTGCGAGGATGCTGTGTTAATTATCACTACAACCAGGACGTTTAGAAATATATTTACTCATACGCAATTATAAAGAGGAAGAATACTATATCATATATCAAACACTACGAAACGATACACTTTGATACACTTCCCTGTACTTCAAGTACATGATGGCCGATATCCACGAAATGGTGATGCCCATCTGACATTTTAAATTAGTTATTTAAAGCTGCTGTGCGTCATTTGCAGTTTTTGAACGATATATAAAATTTAGTCAAATTAATTATTTTTCATTTAATTAAGAACTAATAATAGAAAGGTAAATAACCTTCCGGTTTGGATTCAATCGCATTAGATCTGCTCCCCGCTACTCCAATCAAATAATATGTCCTTTCTGAATAAGCCCGAGAGAGAGAGGTATAACGTCCACTCAACACAAACTATGTCATTTCGGGACTAACACATGGTTCATTTTCAATAATTCGCTTAGCAGTGCGTGGAAACTGCAGTACATGGAGAAAACAGGCGACACTATTCCTGGTCACGTACAATCAGGAAGTCGAAACCACGCCACTGGATTCAATGAAAGACCTCTCGCATTCGCCTCACCTCCCCAAACCACTTCGTGTAAAGCAGCTACAATAAACAATCTTCCTTTAGTTAGTAATTCCATTGTTAACACGCCTATTTTATGTAATTCCATTGTTAACCAGCCTTTAGTTAGTAACTCAATTGTTAACACGCCTATTGTGAGTAATTCCATTGTTAACCCACCTATAGTTAGTCATTCCGTTGCAAATAGTAAGGTAAATCCAACAATTGTAAATCAACCTGTTGTTAGTATTAATTTGCCTTTAGTTAACCATTCTGCATAGCCCTCTTAATGTTAGTCCTAAAGTAAACCCTCTTAATAGTCTTAATGTTAATCCTAATGTATATACACAAGGTAATGTTAATACTGAAATGTCCATAATTAAGTATTTAAAAAAGCCTCCACTGGAAGTTCAAGTGTTTGGTGGGGATGTGTTAAAGTATCCAAGGTTAAAGCGACAACTTAATTCTATTTTGATTCATTGTGATGATTATGATGAGAAATTTGGGTTGTTAGAGAGGTATACTAACGATGAGGCTTTTATTCTTATAGTAGGTTATTCTTATCTTAATTCATATCAGGCTTTTCATTCTGCAATGAAAGCACTAGGTGATAAGTACGGTAATAATGATGAGATAGCAAATACAAATTGGCCAGTTGTAAATAAGCCTAAAGCTTTAGAACAATTTTCTGTGTTTTTAGTAGAATGTGAAAACGCAATACGTTCAGTTGATGGAGTAAAGGTACTTGAGTACCCTGATAAAATTCAAACAATATTAAGGAAATTGCCATATTCAATACAGGAGAGGTGGCGTAATATTGTATTTAATACTCGTTCAGAAGGTTTTTCACTTAAGTTCGGCCAGCTTGTTCAGTTAGTAAAATGTGAGTCTAAGAAGATGAATGACCCTACTGATGGAAAAGATGCGCTATTTGTATCCCCTGGAATTAAACCTTCCAACTCGTATAGTCATAATAGACCGAGAGCTAACTTCTCAAATAAAGTGTCTGATCAACCCCATCTACAGAAGTGATGCAGCATATGAAAGAAATAGGACGGGTGCTGGTAGGGGTAGGACTCCTTTTAGAAGCTTTGGTAATAATACTAATAGAGAACGTAAAATAAGTCATGAACCACAAACTAGAAATGCTTTACCGAAACCATGTATTTTCTGTAAACGTGACAATCATAGTATAGACATATGTACCAAATTCGAAGAAATAGATTACCAAGATAAACAGAAATTTGTAGAAGGGAATAGAATATGTTATGGATGTCTTAAAGTAGGACACTACAAGAAATATTGTCAGCAAAATGAATTCTGAAAAAAATGTGATGGTCTTCATCCTACAGTGATGCACATGAATGACAGAAACAAAGGTAATAAAACCGACCAAGCGTAGCTGGAGTTGTGGCACACGTTACTAGTTCTATGGAGGCTGAAGAGTGCACTATGGCGATAGTACCAGTTAGAGTCAAAATGAAAAATAGCACACAGTTCATAATAACGTATGCCTTCCATGATCCAGGAAGCAGTGTATGCTTCTGTACTACATCCATAATGAATAGACTAGGCAGCCACGGAAAACGAAGAAGGATCACTCTTGAAACAATGGGTAAACGCAGAACCTGTATACGTATCTTATAGAAGGAATGCAGATATGTAGCTTAGATTCAGATGATATCAGTATACACAAAGGAAAAGACGCCGGTTTCACATCATCACATTCCCAGGCAAGATGATGTCAACAAATGGCCACATATAGATGGTATTCAGCTACCCAATCGCGGCTGTGAAATTGGTCTACTCATAGGAAAAAACGTTGCGGACGCTTACAGACCATTAGAAGTAAAACCTGGACCCAGGAATAGTCCCAATGCTTTCCGTTCGATGCTAGGTTGGTTGATATGGAATCTTGTCCGTGACACCCCAAACCATTACAATCCAACAGTAAACCATGCTGGAGTACTATTAGAAGAGAAAATATTTCAACAAAATCAGTTATAGACTTTATTTAGACAGTCTGTTAATCTGGATTTCCCAGAACGTATCATTGATGATAAGCGAGAGAATTCACAGAATGATAAACCTTTCATCAAGAAAGTAGAAGAGTCGATTAAATTTAAAGATGGTCATTATTGGATTAATCTTCCATTTAAAACCCCAAATACTGTTATGCCTAACAATATTACCCAAGCTGAAGGTCGTTTGAGGTCGTTACAAAAGGAAAATTGAGTCCGACCCACAGTTAGAAAGCGAATATAAAGAATATATGGCCAAGGTTTTAGAACAAGGTTATGCGGAACAAGTACCCGATGATGAAGTTGACAGAACCGACGGCAAGGTATATTATCTTCCACACTACGCCGTATACCACACGAGAAAGAAGAAAATAAGAGTTGTCTTCGATTGCGCTGCTCGGTGTTATGGAGTATCTATTAACGATATGTTGTTACAGGGACCCGACCTGACCAATAATCTAGTAGGTGTATTATTACGATTTAGACAGTCTTTAACAGCGGTAATTGGAGACATCAATAACATATAATCCTTTAGTGGCATTTAGCAATTGGAAACATAACAAAACTATACAGTTATATGGGACAACAATCACTGGTTTATTATACACAAGCACGACGTTTCGATAAGTATTCTCTTATCGTTATCAAGCACAATGACATTTAGTAAACTTGGGGGTCTATATATATGTACAATGCGAAACCATTCTTATTACTAATCATTAGAAGAGTTCAACCAATTAACAGACATATTTAACATCAAAGACCTGAAAAGCACCGTGTGATGACAAGGATATAGTTGTACATGAACCTTAAAACCACCCTGATATTGAAAAAGAAAAATGATTAGGGGGAAACCATACATTAAACAAACAGTATATAACAGATAGAGCTTATAAACACACGGTCTTGTAAATAAAACCACATTCACAAAATGTTATGAAAACAAAGCATAATAGCACTAAGATAACACAATAAACTGATCCAAGGGTTTGAAGGATCTAATATAGGCTAATAATAATATACTAAGTTAACATAGTAATCACGATTCAAGGTGTTAAAGTTCAGAGAATATATGTTATTAAAAGTTAATAACTGGGGGGGGGGGGGGGAATCAAAAATATACATAATTAAAAGTGATAACTGGGGGGGGGGGGGGAAAACCCATTTCAGTTAGAGTAGTTCACCTTGAAGTGGCATACAGTTTAGACACCGATTCTTGTATAAACGCCTTGCGTAGATTCAGTAGTAGACGAGGACCTATAAAATATATTAGATCAGATAATGGAACCAATCTAGTTGGATCAGAAAGGGAGTTAAGAGAAGAATTGGGAAAATTGAATGCCCAAAAAATTCACGATAGCATGCTTCAATCAGAAATCAATTGGGAATTCAACCCTCCCGCAGCTTCTCATTTTAGGGGGCGTTTAGGAAAGGTTAATTAGGACAGTCAGGCGAATCCTCTACGTTTTGCTTAAAGAACACTTAATACCACTTGACGACGAAGCTTACATACTTTCTTATGTGAAGTAGAAGCTATCATGAATGCCAGACCTATTACAACAGTCTCTAAAGATCCACATGATATAGAAGCCTTGACTCCAAATCATTTATTGTTAACTCGCCCAGGAGAAAAGCTTCCAATTTGCGTTTTTGAGAAAACAGATAAATTCGCAAGAAGAAAATGGCGACAGATCCAGTATCTTTCGGGGATTTTTTTTGAGAAAAGATGGTCCAAAGAATACCTTACGTTGTTGCAGGAGAGACAAAAATGGTTAAACCCCAAAAGAATATTAGCGTTTGAATTGAACTCAACTTGAACTATAGTATTACAGAATGGATCGACTGTTTAGATAGATTATAGAAGGATTCTGTTGTAAACCTGTAGTAACTTTAGATGTAATGTCATAGATAGCTATTAGAAAGAATACATCGTTGAATCAGTTGATACTGTTTTGGTGTTTTGTATTGCTGTATTGTGAATTGACGACCTAGGCCTGTGGCATAGTTATAGTTATCGTCTACGAATACTTTGATAGTTATTTTATCCAAAGATTTTTTAAGGTTTCTGTTTCAACTGTGCTCTTTTAAACTGTTTTCATAAGTATACAGCAATTTTGAGTAGCGGAAATACATACATATGTGTGCAGTGGGTATAAATGACGATAATAAAAAACGCATAAATGACAATTGACATAGATTCGTCCAATGGAATATGTCTTTCCCGTTTATCAAAGTCACGTTGCTAGATTCATCCAATGAAATCTTTGTAGGTTGACCCTATACAATATCGTCAGGGTATATATTGTAACTATATTTTGGTATTTTGATAGTTAAAACTAATTAACTGATTGAATTTGAAGATGTTAATTACAGTAGCTGTCATCTATTTTTTGGTACAGGCTGTGAGAACTGGTAAGAAAGAATCTATATTAACTTAATTGCTATGTCTAGATCAATTAAATATATACTATAATAAATATCAAAAACGTTTATATTTCAATTAATACACGAATAATGACTAGGTACTTCCTGCCCGTTTTTCGAACTGGACTGTTTTTGGGGTGGGAGGAGGGGGGTTGCTCCCCCACATATGGAGTATGATAATTTCCTTGAGTAGCAGACATGAATTCGAAGTTTTTGATGTGATTATGATGTACGTATAATATAGACCATAGAATGAATGAATGTAGTTTCATGGCACGTCAGCTCCAACCGGTCCATATTGCGCCAAACATATGACGATATCCATGACTAGCAACAGAAGCATTTGCATCTAACATCTTTGAGATGCTAGCAATCAATCAGAACGACTTAACGGTGTTCTCATTCAGGCCAAGGCTCTCGTTTTAAGATGAAAATATGAGTTTAAATGTATGACATATGCGAGAGCGACACAAAACCACTTTTTTTTCTCCTATTGGATCTATATGCGTTTGGCAAGATCCCAAGACCGTTGTCAGCAGCTATAGATGAAATGATTTATACATGTTTTAAAATCTTTATATGGTATTAAAATAATTGATAGGGGAAGATCGAAAGCAGCTTTGGCAGCTAAATCTGCTTGACCATTCCCCATTATATTCACATGATTGGAGAGCCAGCAAAAGACGATGTGTGTTCAAGCTTTGTATTGTTAAATGCCTGAAGGGGGATACAGAGAATCAGTAAATATGACGTGTTGTAGTATATTAGATAACTGAATGAACTTCAAAACTTGAAGAATGGCTTGGAGCTCAACTGTAAATATGGAAGACGATGGTCTAAGATGGTGTCAAGGTTGCCGAAGCTACGCGATCACCATCTTTCGAACCATCTGTAACACTTGGGGCATAATCACAATATTTAGGCCTTAACTTTCGAAAGAGAGACTGGAACACCGTGGGGCTGGTATCTCTCTTATAATGTTGAATAAGATCGAAATCGATCTTTTGGAGAGATATTACCCACGGTGGAGTCACAAAGAAAGGGGCATTCATAATACTGTCATGGCTGATAAGAGCCTCTGACAAAAGGGGTTGGATGGGAATACCAAACGATGGAACGGCGTTAGTTTCAAGCAGATATAAATGCCCATGATAGGGTCTAAATACTTGGTAAAGATGCTATTTTCGTAGCATAATGCAGGTCCAGTTTATCACGTCGGTTGTGCGATGAGGGCTAGTGCGTCGTGACGTATCAACTGTCCACTGGAGATGCATGCAATGTGCCTTGATTGTGTATGGGATCGAGCTCTTTCAGATAAGACTCGCGGGCAGACCCATATGCAATACACCCATGATCGAGTTTTGAACTTATTAATGCTTGATATAATCGGTCTGTTGATGGTTTTCAGACATTTCTTTTTGAGGCTTTTAATGTGGGGAATAACTCTTATCAAATATTAACCCAGGAAATTTGGTTTTATCCACATCTGGAAGGAGATTGCGATCCAAGAAAAGTTTTGGATCCGGATGCAAATTTCGGTTCTGAGGGAAATGCACGCAGACATTCTTGGATTTCGATTTTCGAAATCCATTTTCGGTTGCCCATTGTTGTCGTGAATTCTAACAAAGCTGCAATTTACGTTCACTTATCCGCATGTCTGTATAGTAATAGCATATCAACCAACGTCATCAACATAAAAAGCGTCATTTGTACCTAGTTAAATGCCTGCTGGGTTGATATTAATTTTTATTGCAAAGACTGTTGGAGATAAAATACTCCCCTGAGGTCAGAGAATATTGATCCCAGTCGTACCTTAAATGACCTATCTTCCAGTTGCAGTGTTCCACGCTCGTATCGCGACCTCGTTTAAGCGAATCACGAATCTCTGCAATTGAAAAACTATTATTATAACATTCATCACTGCGTCTAGTTCCCTTTTGGTGTGTAATGCCCCGAAAGGCATCAGAGGAGAAATAGACTGATGAATTGAATGAAAATGACTGGCCAGAGAATTAGCCATATCAGGAAATGTTAGTAAGGTGGTATTATCAACAATTAAATGGTTAACTGATAATGTACTACTTTTACCTTTAATCCTACTCCATACTGACTTGGATGTGGTACAATAATTAATCCTTGAGACGAAACCTTGCCATGAAGATTTCTTTTGTTTGAATATGGTTCTATGGGCCTTGCCCTGGATCGTTTGGTATGCAACAATATGGAAGGGTGGTTCTTAAGTCGTCTCAAAATACGATCACGCTCTTAACGAGCAGATTTGCAATCGTCATTATACCATGCTTGTTTGAGACATACCCTTGCATTGAAGATTTCTTTGATTGACGTATGGTTCTACGGGTCTTCGCCTGGACCATTTTGTATGCCGCAATATTCGCCATAGACGGGTGGTTCTTTAATCGTCTCAAAATACGATCACGCTCTTTAAGAGCGGATTTGCAATTGTAATTATACCACGCATGGTTTATTGAAACGTTTTGGTTCAGTTGTGGTTTTTGGAATCGCCTGTTCAGAATCGAAGTGAATAAAGCCATGGGCTCATCTGCATTAAAAGAGAATACTAATAATAATAAATAATAGTGAGTTCTTATAGTGCGCACAGATCAATTAAAGTTAATGCTCAATGCGAATTTAGCTCTCCACTTATCACAGGATAAAAACACAGTTAATGTTAACAATAAGCAGCTTCTTAAAACAGCTTAGTGATTGTGAATTCTTTAAGGTCAAGGTAATGAATTCCATAGGCTTGGTACAGAGTATGAGAAGCATCTATGACCGAATGTCTTAAGTCTATAGATGAGTCCCACCAGACGTAGTTCATGTTGGGACCGAAGATTTCTTTGGGGGACATTATCAATTAGCATTGAGGACAAGTAGTCTGGTGCCTCACCTTTAAGGCATTTGTAGGCTATGCACAGAAGTTTGAACTTAATTCTGCTTTCCCCCAGAAGCCAATGTAAATCCTTTAACAGTGGTGTGATATGGCAAGTTCTACTAGATTGGCCCACAATTCTAGCCGCATGGACCTCAAGTGAAAGAAGCACGCTTTGCAAATTTGATTCACTTGTTTCTTCTCAGTGCCGAGTTCAGAATCACGATAAACACCTTATACAACTTCCACCTCAGGGGTCTTTCAACCGGAGAGGGACACGACCCTTTTCCGTTCTAGGTTGAAGTATTAGGAATGATCCAAACAACTTCATATTGAGGCACGTAAGATGAACCCTCGCCAGGCAAATACATTTTGAAATTGAATCGAGCTCTCACATATCTGAGAGGACCGGGCTCGATATTCCTTTATTATGATCTGATATTATATTTTTGGGCATTACTACTATATTTGGCTAGGTTAAGTCTGTGTGAACAGAAATGAATTTTGTAGAAACCTTTACAGCACCAGCTAAGAATTCCCTTGTGGTGCATTAGGAACATGTGCCGTAAGTTGTATTGCTTTCTGTCATCAAAATATGAGATTTTTCGTTCACACATAATTTGTTGCTTTGGTTTCTCTTTCTGCTAAATAGGACATTCGCGAGAATTAAGCTCCCAATATTTTTGCCAAAAAAAACGGAGTAGTCCCATTAGAAATGGCTTGCGACGTGGCATCGTGGATGGTCCTGTAAACGTTCGTAAATCTTCTGGGAATGGCCGCGATGTTAGGAAAAGCTCCGGTGTACCTTCACTGATATTGATCATCATCGGGCGAATATCCCCGTAGATTAGGGGATGCATCGGCGCCAAGCATGTCTCTCTTACCATTGTGTGTGAAGTACCAATATATATTTGGTATACAATTTGTGAGTGTGGTATTAAAAAGTATTAATGAAATTTGTTTTGTGATGCTTTAGGTGTAAGGGCGTCAGTAATATGTTATATTAAGGTTTTGACTATTTCTTTATAGCATCCCAACAGATACGACTAGTTGGAGGATCTGAACCACACGAAGGAAGAGTTGAAGTGTTTCATCAAAATATATGGGGCACAGTCTGTCATCATTCTTGGGACGATAAAGATGCGTCCGTTGTTTGTCGACAACTTGGATTTAGCCCGTAAATATAATTTTTATTTCCTCGGCATTTTCTTATATATATATGTATCCAAAATATTAGCACAATCGTAATTAAAGCTGAACTACTTTGTTTCACGGTAAATAATTCATTAAATCACAAAGACCACCACCTAATCTGAAATGCCCCCTAACCAAAGCAAAATTCTATCACAAGGACCGGTTGTTATGTATCTAAATGCCCGGATCTTCGATGTAAATGTTGCGACCATACATCGCCAAATAACAAATATAATTTTCATAAATTTACTATTATTGTCAACGACAATATTAATTGTAGTCTGGAGACTCAGTGGCGGGGGTCCATCAAATGGGCACAAAACCATACCAAACTTTTCTATAGTAAAATTTTCCGTAGAATACGTTGCCGAGTGGTAATCAGTCCGCCGTTTTCGAGATATTCGGAAATGAAATGAAATGAGGTTTAACGTCCTACTGTTCTGCTCCGAACTGAGATAATGAAGACGGGCATACGCTATACAGTGTGCTATGTGGGAAATTTTGCCCGGACAGCGGCACTGCGGCCTACTTTCAGTGCAAATGACCTCATTTGATCTTTAACCCCGAATATCTCGAAAACGCCCCAAAGGCGGACGGATTACCACTCGGCAACTTATTCTACGCGACATTTTACTATAGAAAAGCCTAAGTTTGGGATGAAAATCTACCTACCTTGAAACTTTGGATCTACTTTATAATGTCCAAATACGAAATTCCAGCAGGTATCATGTTACATATTAGTGAAAGGCGCGTCCATTTCTATTTGTAAATATGTAAATAGTTTTCTAGTACAATCGTATTTTCATAATTCAAATCCAATAAATATCTAACGATGCCATCGATTATGGTCTGGTGGATTAGTTAATTTGCCTAATTACTAATTTATTTGAGGCACAACGAAAGATATGCAATAGACAGTTTTAGCTCGTCCATAATGCAGGTTTAAGTGTCTGCGTGTGTGAGTGTGTGTGTTGTGTGTGTGTGTGTGTTGGGTGGGTGTGTGTGTGTGTGTGTTGGGTGGGTGGGTGTGTGTGTGTGTTGGGGGTATTCAGTGTTAAAAACGAGTCTTGATAGAAAAAAATCCAAAATGTTACCTGTAACTGCTCTTTTCAAATATGTAAATTCATACTCACTACAAAACGACCAAAATTGGATGGAACTAAAATATATTGCCATGATTGCGGGGTGGGGGGGTGTAGTATTTTGCTACCTATCACTAGAAGCACGCCCATTGCTGCTTAAAAATATGTAAATAATTTACTGGCACATTTAGATTAGCATACCTTGAAAAACATCGCGTGGTAGGAAACACCATTAAAGGCCTATTAAGTAAAAATACTTGTCTAAATACGAAATTCCAGATACCATGTTACGTATTACTCATTGCTCATTTCGAATATGCAAATATTTTTTGGCACAATCATATTTGCATAACTTTACAAAATAAGTTTAAAGTTGAAGTGAAGGTAACATGGGGAGGGAGGGCGGGACTAAACTAAACTAAAAAAATGTATTGTCATTCCTCTCTTTAAGTATATGATTTAATGCTTATATATTGTTGGGTTTTTCTTAATGGAACAAAGTTCATTAGAGTGTACTTAACTCTTTTGATAGAAAGAACGTCAAAATATGGGTATTTATACGAAATCCCAGTTATTTTGTTATAAATTACTGGAAAGTATGTTTCTGTGGCTATTTGAATCTATCAATTATATCCTGGCACATTCATGATTACGCACGGTCGTCTAGATAGTGTCTTATAGTGTACCAGCTTGATGTACTGTTATCGTTCGGTGAAAATCCTTATAGTGTGCTGGTTTATAGTGTGCCAGGTTTCCGTATATGTTAATAGGTCACGTGATATCCTACATGTTGATGCTGTGCGAAAGATGCTATGTAGGAAGCGTGAAGGAGACATGCGATGTGGCAGAGCGCAAATGTAAAACGTAATGAGAGAAATGTAAAATGTAGACACGTCAATCAAAGCATTTTCTAACAAATCATTTGTCATTTGAAACTTACCATTTGACGTTTTACATTTAACTCTTGCCTTAGAGGTATTTTGACTTTATCATTACCGGTATTAGGACTTTGCACATTGTACTTTTTAGGTATCATCAATGTAAACGACATTGTTACAGGCCATTTAATATTGGCAGCGATACCCTTCCATACACATCTACGGGATAGAGTACGCAACGGGGTGGTAATATTGAAAATTGGCACTTAGTGTACAACACCTACAAGTGAAATTTCAAATTTTCCCTTTTATAAAATGAAAGTCGATGACATGACAAAAAGTAAATTAATGGAAAACCATTTTATTACAAACAAAAAAACGTTCCTCGCCGTAAAAGTCAATATGTAACAATTAGCTATTAATTTCACATTAATGTTCTTAATCTATCCCAGGATTATCTTCCACTCATTGTACACATATACAACAGATTAACACACGGGTATATATACATGGGTTCTGTTAGCTATCTATATACTATGTAACCATAGACAATGGTAACTATAGCCAATTACAACCACAGTGTTTCTATGTAAATATGTATAAATATACTATACTGTCCATCCCTATGTAATGAGATGATTTATGAATAGTCCCAAGACGAACGAAAAGTACTTTAAAACGTTAGAATATTATTAAACCATTCAGTGTAGAAATCAACAGAAATTTAACGGCACGTTAGCAAGATAACGATCTTTAAAATAGCTGAGTTTTGAGCAACCGGCCCTTGAAGAGGTTCAGGAGAACTGAAAACGTTAGCCAAAAAACATGTGGTCATTCCTTTTTTCTACGTATTTTTTTATAATATATATATTCATAATATATCTTGGCATTCTTTATTATGTTAAGAAATGTTACTGCTATTAAAGACTAACGTGCTTTTCAAAACAAATCGCTTTATTCGCTTTCACCCATATGAATTTTTTAAACAATGATTTGTATACTGATTTTCAGTGATATTGGTTCGCTTTATTGCTAAGGACTGTCGGATATCTTGTATAATACATAGTAATGTTAATATCATTGACTTGAACAAAAATACTTTTATGAATGCAGATAGTTAAAAGCGTGAATATTGAATGATATACAGTAGTAGTACCTTGTTGCTTTGACGTCTGCTTCCACTAAAGTGACATCGCAGACAAGAATAAGAGAGCCGAAGCATCTTCCTGTATATATATAGAATATGAGTTTGCAATCTTTCTATTTACAGCCTTGGGCAGTTCTTCCGTTTTTTAAAATCAAAAACATATTATTTGGTATTTGATCTTTACAGACAACAATGTCATTTATTATGGGACACATATGTGTCTCCTTCTTTGGATTGGTAGATGTCATCTTAGTAGGTTTAGTGTTTAGGTGCCAGGTCGGTCGTATGGTATGTCCCCTCCCCCCAAAAAAAACCCCTCACTGCAGGCTTGGTGTCTAAAAATGTATACACCAGTAGTGGCATCTTTTATAGCTGGTTACACACCTGCTAATTAATGACTACTGTCATCTTCAATAGAAGGCTTGATCTCGCTTTAACTTCGTACATCTTATCAAGGCCTTCACGTAATACCCGGCATATTGCTGCACTAATTTTGATTGGGTACAAGCCCAACTTGTGCGCCTATCAGATTCCTCGATCGTCGCGAATACAAAGTCTCGCGCTTTCAAGCTAAAATGTCTACCTGTGATAATCGAGTTGCAAAGTTCAAGGCTCTCTCAATGTTAAGGTTTCCGTGGAGGTTGCGATGTCACAACTTCAGATTGGAAGCTACTGCTCACATGTCTGTAGATAACATAGCTATAAGTTCGGGAATTGTGAAGTAAACAAGCAACGGTAACGGCACTTTCTGTGCATGGCTTAGGTTTATAGTAAAATAAACGAGCTATATGTGGGGCTTATTTTAAAATATATGATAAGACTTACCATTAAAAACACCATTCATAAACAATTAAAAATATATCTAAGTTGGATTTTTGTTTGATATAACATTTCAATATTTTTTGAAACTTTGTCGAAAGTTAACTGGTACCTATGGTGTTGCATCGGTAGATGTTTTTGTTTTATCATAAAGAGTGAATGTCCTTGGTCACATTTGAATTTCAACCTTCGCCTTGTAACGAATACTAAATGAACTCAAGCGGGATTCTTCGTCTTTTTTTTAAAGTTCGTTCAAATTACGATTGAATGTAGCATATGTATACCGTTTAATTTTTTAAACACGAGAGAGCGATACGATAGCTCAATAGATCAAATAATTTAACTTTTCAAAAATGAATAATTTATTTCGTATTAAAAAAAAAACCGTTTATGTGGGAGCTATTAGATATTAAATAACGATATCACTTTGGTTAGTTCGAGAAACAATAGTTATTTTAAATTGGTGAGGTAAATACAAAATAAAAGATTCATATGCGAACTACGTTCTGATACAGCACTCGAATTTCACCAAGACATATGGCATAACGGTTGTAAAAGCATAAGCAAAAATGGTGTGGTACGACAAAATAATAATAATAAAAAAATGTGCCTTAGTTGACAATACATTCACATTATCAAGTATTTGTGTAACAATAAATGACATAACATATGGTTTTTAAACACGAAAATCTTTTTTTTAACATAACAATGCTATTCCTTTTATAAAACTAGTGTCGGTGATATTGTCAAAAATATGTTCAGTACAATTTAAACATGTCGGCATGAATTGTGAATCAGAATCTCTATATCGCGTTGACTCTAACGCTAGGTATCCCAGGAACGTTGCTACTAAACACGCTCAGATCATCTGATAGTAGCCGGGGGATCACGTGGCTAAGTGGGTAAGACGCTGGCTCGCTAGCCTGGAGGTCGGGTGTTTAATCCCTGCATTGGCCGAGAAAGTTCATCCAGATTTTCCAGCGTGGCTGCCCCTTGTCAGTGATGCAGGACGGAGGGTCTGACAAGGACAGCTGTCTAGTCCTTCGGATGATACGAAAAACCGAGGTCCCTTGTGTACATTAGAATGCACATAAAAGATCCCGTGGCAGTTGGAATTCGATATAAGAGTAGGCGATAGTGCCGCTGCCCGGGCAAAATTTCCCTCATAGAACACTGTATGGCGTATATGCCCGTCTTCATTAGCCCCAGTTTAGGAGCAGAACATTTCATTTCTGATAGTAGCCCCAAGAATATGTACCTGTTTTACATTTTAATTAAAATTCGAAATTGTCGGGAATTTATTAATAATCCCTATTACATGACTTGTAATGTTTGCCTAGAGCAGCTGTTTGGTCAGATTGCACAAATCAAATTCTGAACAACAAATCCTTTGGCTGATTTATTTTTATAAAATGACTCTCGTCGCTCAACCCCCCCCCCCCCCCCTGTCCCAAAGAATACGTCAACACAAATGGAATCGTAAAGTATATTTTGTTAGAAGGCATTTAGAGCTAGCAAAAACCCCAACTTCTGAACTCGCGGAGGTGGCAACTCACCACAAGGTTTTACGATTACGTAAAAGTAAATTTCACAGTCTTGCAGAGTCAGTAAGATGCTGCGAGCGTGACATTAAAAGATAGAAAAGGGACGAAACTGCACGAGGTGACTATGAATTGAGAACCGTTACATTCAACTAAATGAAAAAAACGCCGAGTTTTATCAAAGGTTCGTATCAAATTATTTTCAAAAATCCAACGTGTAAAGGAGATATTTTTAAGGGCTTCATTGATAAATAATTGAATGAACATTTTCACGTGAATGTCTTTATTAGTGCACATATCTGAGACTCTGGATCGCTATCATAAGTCAACGGTATCAGCTTATCAGTGATATAGTCCTTATTTAATCCCAAATTTACATTTTTGAATTAATGCATATTCCATATATATAATTAGAGCTATTTTTTTTAGAACTGGGGCGGTTGCTCTCAAATATGCCAGTTTTGGACGAGGTACTGGTAAAATCTGGTTAGATAATGTTAATTGTCAAGCATCTAACATGGCACTAGCTGAATGTTCTCATCCTGGTTGGGGAAAAGCACGTTGTTATTATGGACATGACGCGTCGGTGATTTGCAAAGGTAAGTTCAGCATTATACAAGTATATAAAAGGCGAGAAACAAAATGTAGCATTTTAAATAAATTCTAACCAGGTTATATAAACATTTTCAATCAACACAAAACCAAGAAAAGTAAAGACAGATTACATGTCAGCTAAACATTGAAAGTTGGTCGGGTTCACTTACATGACAAGGAAAATCAGATAAAGACTAACTGTTACTTTATCATTATGTAACCCGGGGCCCTCAGCTCAAAAACTAGAGGATGATATGACAATGGACGGATTAATCAAATAACGGATTCTGGTGGAGTTGACAGACTTGACAGACTTGACAGACAGCAGTGCGTTAAAGTGCTACACCTATAAGTATAAACACAAGAGTATGTAAATGTGATGAAATTGAAAGTTAATAGGGTTCGTCCTCTCATGACCACAAAGCTATGCTATAGCCTATATCCCTTTCATAAGCTATTTGTAGAACAAAAAGTCTCAGAAGGCAGAAAATCGACATGATCCTTTCATTCATGACCTCAATGATTCGTACCACATTTCAAAATAATCTATATAACCACGTTAAATGCCAAACTAAGTTATGATTATAATATACATAATCTGTATCATTGAATTCAGCCAAGACATTCACCTAATGGATATCTACACCGTGTTTGAACATTCTAGTTTGAACATTCTACATAAATATTATTAGTAAGACTTACCTTCACATCTTATTGTGAATTTCCCTCTGTTCTTTACTGTGCATCGTCAGCGCACATTCGAACATTCACCGCCATAATTTAAGTCTGTGATGCGCATGCGTTAACCGAATCCAACAGTATAACTATGTGAATTAACAGAGCAGTGCCGTTGTTATACAAGCTATTCTGGAATATTACAGGTCTTTTGATTAATGATACGATTTATATTGTTAATAAAATTTTCTATCAGCTTTTATACTGAAAAGTGTGTAAAAATACAGACGTTTCTGTCCACATACAGAAATGCAACTAAAACAACCGATTTTATAGTAAAAATACGAGTTATCTATCTCAAATCACAGATATTTCCGTGATAATACGGATAATTTCCTTCAAATAACAAAAAGAAGGGATTTTAAAAACAGATATTTTTACAGTGTAGTTTATATTGGTACTAAACAGATTTTATGGTTAATATACAGAAAATTATGTAAAAATACAATCTGGTTAAAACACAGATCCTATTTCGTTTCGTTTTAAATAGTTCAAAATTTCGTTTTACTTGTCTTCACAACACTAGGATCTAGGCTTTCGAGTTGATGTGAGTAATTAGTCAATGAAACGGTCTGTTACGGCGAGTTCTTGGCGTGCTCTGCACGGAACTGTGGGTAAACCCCTAGAAACGTCAACGCTGATTGTTTAATCATTGTCTGGAATCATAGGGTCAAACGCCGATCGTATAGCCCTTGGCGCGACTTCCCAGTACAACTGGTCACATCTTCGTGTAGTGTAGACCATCGAGATTGGTAAAAATACCGACGTTTCTAAAAGATCAGGTTTTATGGTAAAAATACGAGTTATTTATCTCAAATCACAGTATTTCTGGATGATTTCCTTAAAATAACCAAAATAGGGATTTAAAAACAAGGATTTTACAGTGCATATTGTGGAATACCTTACTGTGTGTGATAATATTATTTCGGACCATCATCCAATAATTGGTGATGTCAAAATTCAACACGAAACAAATTCTGTGAAAACAAAAAAAAATCTTGATGTTGAACATTTGGCTCAGGAACTAAATAAATCCTTTCTAAAAAATCCAGGTGATAATATAAATGTTCTGGTCAACGACTAAAATACCAATGTTACAAAATCTCTCGATTTGGTTGCATCTCGAAAATCTAAAGGTACAAATCTCAAGTCTTGGTACACTGATGAAATTCATGAGGCTAGGAAGGAGCGCAGAAAATCTGAGGGAGTATGGCGGAAATCTGAGTTTGCAGTATACAAGGAAATATATAAATCCAAGGCAGCAGCGGTTGTGAAGAAAATTGAACATGCTAAATCGATTTATTACACGTCTAAATTAGATTCGCCAGATTCTAAAGACCTTTCAAAGTTGTGAAATCTCTCACGATTTGTGTATCTAGTAAGCTTCCCTCTAGCACCAGTGACCAGCAACTGGCAAAAGGTATTTGTAAATTTTTGGGAGATAAGGTCAGTAACATATAGTGCACATAAGATGGACGACAATACTTTTTGGTACGTGAATTGAAATGAAATGGGGTTTAACGTCCTACTGTGCTGCTCCTAAACGGGGCTAATGAAGACGGGCATACGCCATACAGTGTGCTATGAGGGAAAGTTTGCCCGGGCAGCGGCAATACGGCCTACTCTTATATCGAATTTCAACTACCGAGGGTTCTTTTACGTGCACGCCAATGTGTACACGGGACCTCGGTTTTTCGTCCCATCCGAACGTATAACCAATGGTTACTATATCCACTTTACGGCAAGTTCACACCAATCTGATTAAAATTAATTCAGCTATCTTCACGCAAAGTCGCAAAAAGAGACCTCCGGTAAAAACGACTTTGCCAATTATCGAAAATACTCTTAATCCCTTCAGACGCATGTGAAGTCACAGTGATCGAATGCATATTCGGAATGATTATAAACAGCTGGCGTGTGTATTCATTAACTCCTGACTGATACCTTAATCCCCTAATTAAATAAAACAACACTCTACCATTGTGTGTAGTCCAAACGATTCGAGATACATTTTCGTCAGAAGAGTATTGTGGTTTCTAATTTCCCCGAGTAACAGAGTACAGGAGTAAATAGATGTGGTCATGCAAAATGTATCATAAGGGTCATCTAACTATCTTTGTGTATTAATAATAATATGGCAAGTGTAGTATCGTTAATATCTGTCATTAAGCAATCCGACTAAAGTTGCACAGACATGAGGTCATAAATTAATTTGCACCTGATGTGGGATTAAGAATGCTGATTAGGTATTTATGTTTTGTTACGTCAGCCAGATCAAAGACATAACTCTAGGTGGGACGTGTGCGTAATACCCCACGAACGAACGAAAAAAGTTACGGGGGAACTTTTCTACAATCATTTCTTCAAACGACTACTAAACGTAGAATCGTACACACGTTAATTGTATAAAAATTAAGTTTTACTCATCAGTTATTTATATTTATTATTTACCCAATAATCAATTAGGTTTATTAGCCTCGTATTATTTGTTGATTGGCGTTTAAACAACATTTAATTGACTTGATATGAAATCTGAATATACATTATTCGATGGATAAACGTTTTACTCATCAGTTGTTTATATTTATTATTTTCCCAATAATCAATTAGGTTTGTTCACCGATTTTTTGTAATAAAGTAGCTTCGTATTATTTGTTGATTGGTGTTTAAACAACATTTAATTGACTTGATACGATGGATGAACGTTTGTGATAAGATTAGGTTATAATGTCTAACATCGTTTAACTTCTCTATAATAAAGGTATTTTACAATTACATTGACAGTTAAATCACTCACCAAACGGCATCGGGTACTCCACGTATGATCACGTGTATTTGATATTCATGTCTATGAATCCCATGAAATTTTCGCGCCAAAATTTAACTTCAGTTACTACGCCCGTAGTATGCATGGAACCGTACATGATAATAATATTCCCAGCGTTGATTGGCTGAGAAATGAGGGCGATCCATTGTTATGAATAGTCATTGGAAAATTCCATATTCGCTGTGAATTTCAAATGGAGTTACGAAAAAAGTTGTCCTTGTGTATAGAAATGGTTATTGTTATTATATATAGCTACTAATGAATATATCGACAAATGACTGGTACTTATAAAGAATAGTTTGGGATATCAAGAATTACGGGGTTATCCAAATTACCTGTAAATGCGCTAATAGCTTGGGTCGTCTTCATTTGCCACGTGGCCCATTTAAACAACGGCAGCATAAATGGATATTCGGCATGATACGGCATTTTAAATTCACTCTAAAATATTCCAATCACAAATGTTTAATCTATAACAATGCAAGACGATAATTCAGTGATTCTGATTAGGCCAGTCACATGTTAATTGGACCGTCAATAGACACTTGTCAACTAGTGGTGTGTATAGACAGTAAATGAAATGAAATGAAATGGGGTTTAACGTCCTACTGTTTTGCTCCGAACTGGGCTAATGAAGACGGGCATACGCCATACAGTGTGCTATGAGGGAAATTTTGCCCGGACAGCGGCACTACGGCCTACTCTTATATCGAATTCCAACTGTCAAGGGATCTTTTACGTGCACGCCAATGTGTACACGGGACCTCGGTTTTTCGTCTCATCCGAATGACTAGACAGCTGTCTTTGTCAGGCCCTCCGTCCTGCATCCCTGACAAGGGGGAACCTGTATAGACAGTACAGAGGGTGATATATTGTATAGATTATGTATATACTATGTGTAGTCACCAGCCAATCAACCGTATTAAGGTCGCGATTGAAAAACTGTAAAGCGTCTTGGCGTGTCGGATACTTAAACGTGAACAGTCGAATTAATTGCAATCAGATTGGTGTGAACTTGCCGGAAAGTGGATATAGTTACCATTGGCTATACGTACATGCAATTTAGGTTTCTCATCTTGTGTGGTCTTTAAGAAAAGAGCTCAACAGCGAAACCCATGATATTGATCCTTTTCCCGATATCTCCTCACTTTCAGTTTCTAATCTCAAAGTATTTGAGTCTGTGACAACCGATACTGTTAAGGCAACGATGCTTAAGGCGAAATCTGCAACCTGCAGTCTTGATCCGATTCCAACGTGGTTACTCAAGGAGAGGCTTGAGCTCGATTCTCTGATTGGCATCATCACCAGGATTATAAATACTTCCCTGTTGTCAGTAACAGTGCCAACATCTTTGAAATGCGCATTAGTACTACCACTATTAAAGAAACCCAGTCTTGATCAAGATATTTTGAGGAACTATAGACCGGTTTCTAATTTACCATTCATTGAAAAAGTTCTTGAGAAGGTCGTAGCGCAACAAATCACAGCATATCTAAATAGAAATAATCTTCATGAACCTCTACAATCTGCATATAAAATAGGTCAAAGTACAGAGACAGCTCTACTGAAAATAAAATCGGACATTGACACGTCGTTGGGTAGAAACTGTGGAATGTTGTTGGTCTTGCTAGACGTAAGTGCAGCGTTCGACACTATCGACCACTAAACACTTTTTAGCAGACTAGAAACTCTGGTCGGTATCACAGGAAATGTGATATTTGGCTTCAACCTTCATAACAGGAGTCAGCAAATAATAATAGGGGAAACGCTCTCGGACCGAGTCTCATTGTCCATTGGAGTTCCCCAAGGACCAGTTCTTGGTCCATTATTATTTTTGCTATAACTGCTTCCACTTGGACCTCTTATCCGAAGACAAAATGTTCAAAATCATGGTTTTGCTGTTGATACTCAGTTGTATTGTTCGTTTGGTTTTTCTAACCCTGGATCCTTACGATAAAACAGAAAAATGTTTGGCTGATATTCGCCTATAGATGTCTGTTAACAAACTTAAAGTAAATGATGAAAAAACTGAATTTTTGGTTATGTATCCTACATCTCAGATAAAAAATATTTGAATAATTCCTGGTTTAAAATTCGAAAACTGCACCCCTGCATTGGCCTAGAAAGTTCATCCAGATTTTCCGGCGAGGTTCCCCCTTGTCAGTGATGCAGAACGGAGGGCCTGACAAGGACATCTGTCTAGTCCTTCGGATGATACGAAAACCCAAGGTCCCGTGTATACATTGGAATGCACGTAAAAGATCCCCTGGCAGTTGGAATTGGATATAAGAGTAGGCGATAGGGCCGCTGCCCGGGCAAACTTTCCCTCATAGCACACTGTATGACGTATGCCCGTCTTCATTAGCCCAGCATAGGAGCAGAACAGTAGGACGTTAAACCCCATTTCATTTCTTCTTCTTCTTCTTATTATTATTATTAGTATTATTTTTATTATTATTATCAGACAGAGGTCTTTACTTAGCCTCATTAGAATTGGTGAATAGAAAGTATCCACCAAATTTCACACCTCTAACTGAAATAGAATCGAAGTTGTCGAGATCTAAAGTCTTAGTAATTCAAGTTTCTTATTGCTCTGCTTACACTGAACAGTTTTACCCCTCTCATTCAAATATAATCGAAGTTATCGAGCTCTAAATTCAAATTACTTATTGCTCCAATTAACCTGAAGAGAACGTCATGCTCATGATCGAATTTAGTCAACGTAATGAATCTATACACCCGAGTTTTACCCTTCTCACTTATCGTCTACCAAAGCATCAATCAATTATTGCTTAGTCTAAGCAGAGTGTGATCGGTCAACTTTGAACTGCATCAAGGCATTCACCTCATCAATATCTACACCAAGTTTGAACATTCTACTTAATTACGAGGAGGGAAGGGGGGGGGGCTCTGCATACAAACACAAAACTAAACCGAAAACACAAACCTGCCTGCACGACACGTACAAGGACATTCCAAGCAATGAGCAACAACTATCAAATCACGTGAATCGATTCAGTGGCCATATTTATTACTTAATGTAAGATTTAGATAAAGAGCTGGACGCTCTTGCTATAATAGTTCAAAAATAGATAATGAAAAATGAATATTTTGAAAATTTTATTCGAATTACTTAATTCTGAGCAAGTATGACTTAGTCTCGATGTTTAATTCCATTTAACTGTGAGCCATCTGATGGTCTACAGAGTTGATTATAGGCCTGTTAAGTTAATTCATGTCTACATAATAATTAATTTGATATTTGAAACTAAAAGAAAGACCTGCCTGTAATAGGCTGATTTAGCTCTTACAGAATGCATCTTTAACCTTAGTGGAAAATGGTCATCGTCGGACTCCGTCAAGTCATTCACATAATAAACACATACATCAAGTTTAAACAGTGTGTTCCAACGATTCAACCAATCAGGCTGAAGTCTGTACTTGGCCTCAGTAGAATATGTTTATTGGTGAATAGAAAGTGTCCAGCAAGTTTCACACATCTAACACAAGTTTTCGAGCTCCAAAGTCCTGATATGTCAAGTCGCGTATTACTCTACTTACAGTGAACAGTTTCACCACTCTCACTCAAATATAACGGAAGTTATCGAGCTCTACAGTCAAAATGCCTATTGCTCTAATTAAGCTGAACAGAACATGCCCATGTTCGAACTTAGTCAACGTATTGATGTAATGAATCTTTAGACCCCAGTTTTATCATTCTCACTTAATTAGAATTAAAATTATTGTCTCCAAAGCATCAATCAATCATATCGCTTGACCTAAGCAGAGTGTGATAGTTCATCTTTGGTCTACATCAAGGCATGCACTTCATAAATATCTACACCATGTTTAAACATTATACCTCAATTAGAAGAGGGAGGGAGGGGGGGCCTCTGCACACAAACCAAACACAACCGAAAACACAAACCTGCCGTCACGACACAAACTACACGGACATTGCAAGCAATAAACAACAAATATCAAATCACGTGAATGGATTCAGTCGCCATATGTATTGCTTAACAGATTGCCCAACCACTAAAATACAACGATAGCAACCATTCTAGACGAGAAAGCTTCTACGGATTTTCCTATGTGGTCCCCGTTGTTAGTGGCGGGTACGGCGTAAAACGTTAAACCCCATTTCATTTCTAAGCACAGGTGATCCTGTTTTAACGTTGGTAGGAGGGTCCAATTCCATGGAAGGACGAGTGATGGTATGGCACAACGGCTCATTTGGAAGAGTTTGTCCTGATGGTTTTGGACAAGAAGAAGCTCATGTAGTGTGTCGTCAATTAGGATTTAACAAGTATGAATCTACAATGTCTTCCAATTCAATATAAAAAGATAACGTCTTTTAATTAAATTCATCCCATTCAATTCGTTACTTAAATATATTTTGCACTTTGATCATAACTGATTTTTTTTATATGTTGGTTTATTATATCGGTCAAAAATTAGTAGATAAAACCAATGTGGGATATAACTGATTGCGTGTTCAACAGTCGACAGGCGACGGATAAAAACATTTCTACTCAATCCATTGTGTGTTTATCGTTCTATTTAATTTTTCTTGATATTAATGTTAATTTATTATAATCAACATTTTGTGTATAATCTTTCTATGTAAAAGTGATGGTGGTGATCCTGATATTAATGTTGATTTTGGTAAAGGATCAGGTCCTGTTCTGGTATCTAATATTATCTATTGTGTGTATTATCTTTCTATTTAATCTCTCCTGATATTAATGTTAATATTATAATCAACATTTTGTGTATAATCTTTCTATTTAGCAATGAAGGCGTTGATCCTGATATTAATGTTGATTTTGGTAAAGGGTCAGGTCCCATTCTGGTATCTAATATTAATTGTAAAGGAAATGAGTCATCTTTATCCAACTGCAAACATCCAGAATTTAGATTCGGAGAATGCAGTGGCACACCTGATGCCTCTGTCGTTTGTAAATGTAAGTCTATGAAAACAGTAGCCAGTCATTCTTACAGGACATATATTAACAAATGGCCTATCTATGAGTCTTTTAATTTAAACCAAATATATTAAAGTTAGATTGATCACTACATACACATTAAATCGATGACCTTGCTCATAAAAAATAAACGATCAAGAAAATGTAATAATAGCCACTTCAAGGGTTTAGTTTATTATTTTTCGATATCTTTGATCCTCTGTCTTTATTTAGTACATTTTACAGTAATCAGTCAGTAGTTACACACCTGGGTTATGTATAGGGTATTCCTTATAGTTGGTGTCGAGTTATGTATCCGTATACTAGACGATATTGACTTTCAGACTTATTTACAAAGGGATATTATAAAGTTGCCGTAGAAACGTTTCGAAAATAATCATTTTCAAGTAAGAATTAATATTGGAATAACCCATTTATGTTTTCCTTAGCCCTCCGTCGACATTTTGAGTTAGATTTGGACAATATTATATCTAATGGTCAATCTACCGGTTATTTTAGTTGTTCCAATGCGACTAGTAAATGGATCAGGACCACATGAAGGAAGAGTGGAGGTGTTTGATAGAAGAGAATGGAAAACAGTTTGTGATTATCAATGGGACGATAAAGATGCATCTGTTGTTTGTAGACAACTAGGATATAATGGGTAAATATACGACATGGAATAATATATACGCTTTATACAATAAAACAATCTTAATACAGTAACTAGTGCTGTACTTGAATTAAAATATTGCCATATTTGGCTGTACTAAATGTTATTTGTGCGAATTAGTACACGAATATATAGTTATATATTAATTCAGTGTCGTTTTGTTTGCATTGAATAGTTGAACGTGTAATACTATTTTTAGGACAGGAGCAATAAGTAAACACCGCGCCTATTTTGGAGGGGGACGTGGCAATATAGTGTCCAGCGTACAATGTAATGGAAATGAAGGGTATTTTACTGACTGTAAATATCGTTATGTTAGCTCGTGTAGTCATACTAGAGACTCGTCTGTAATATGTACAGGTAAGATTATATTAAAGTATTGTGGAGATATGAATATAGTTTTAAATAATTATTCACATTTCGGTGATCCATATTCAAGGCATTGCTTCGGTTAACTTACACGTTATGTACGAAACAGTTTCTTCTCACATTGTCTACAACATCTGAAAAAAATATTCTCATATAGGGAACAAACTGTAGTAGTATACTGTTGTATGTAAATATAGGTAACAAACTGTAGTAGTACTGTTGTATGTAAGTATAGGTAACAAACTGTAGTGGTACGGTTGTGTGTAACTATAGGTAACACTGTTGTGGTATACTGTTGTATGTAAATACGTAACAAACTCTAGTAGTACGGTTGTATAAATAAAATAAAACCAAGTACGAACAATCCAAACCATAAGACAGAATTCGAAGTCCTAAAAAACGTTATAGGCAAAATAGTGTATTCAAGCAAAATAGTGTAATCAGCAAATGGACTGCTCCTCGTGTACAAAATACACGACAAACAGTGGTAACAGGTGTCCGGAAGAGTAAGCTTACCCTGCCTGGCGCCACACCCGCCATAGTATGTAACTATAGGTAACACTGTTTTATGTACATATAGGTAATATCAGGAGTACTGTTCTATGTTCATATTTTAAAATACTTATAAACTAATTTACATATACTTGGACACCGATGAACCTTCTTTGCCAATACCGGGATCGAACAAATGAACCATATCGTCTAATACCGGGATTGGACACGAGACCGCCAGGTAAGTGAGCCAAAATCTTATTCACTGGGCCACCTAATAAATATCTACACCAATATTCTATCTCAGTTAATATTATGGTTTTTATGTTCCAAATTCTTGACCTATCCAATCGCTTATGGCTACTTGGCCTGAACAGAAAACTCTCAATGAACTTAGTCAAAGTATTGTTGTAATGAAACTATGATCTAAATTTCAGTTCTCTCATCCTATTAGTATCAGGGGCGTAAATGTGGGTATGAGGTAAACAATGCCAAAATAAAATGCCAACATTTTTGTGAATCCGTGGACCAAAATTACAACGGTATAGTATAAAATAACTTAGTCAACTTGTCATGTTTGAAAAAAAAAAAATTCCCTGTTATGAGTATGTTGGTCTAAGAATTTGAGAGAGCCTGTATTATTGATTGCCATACGAATAATATTAGTCTAGTAGTTGGTACGAAGTTATCGGAAGCATAGTTCGTTTCAGAAATACGTAAAAAAAATCTTTAAATTATGAAATGTTAAGGTGATCTATTGAACTTAAGAATTTTTACTTGTTGCATATTTAATCCCAGTAGAAATTAAAACGTATTTACTCATGTTGTAAGTATTTTCTGGCCATCAGACCCAGTCCAAAAAATTTAAAAGCTCAGTTACATAATCTATATCTTTCTCGCGCCTGCGGCGCTTAATTCTGATTATATATGATTAAATGGCTCGGTGAGTAAGTATATATGATTAAATGGCTCGGTGAGTAAGACAATGGCTTGCTAACTTGGAGGTTCCGTGTTCTCTCTCGATGTTGGCCGAGAAAGCTCCTAGATATTTTTCCGTCGTAGCTGTCCCAATGTCAACAGTACCTTGATGGACGGCCTGGCAGGACAGTATCTAGTCGTTCGGATGGGAAGTGCATGAAGACCGCCCTTGACAATTAAAATTCAAATAGGCAGTATCACAAATTTCCCTGACATGACACACTGTATAGCTTTTGCCCGTCGTCATTAGCCAGTCGGTGGAGAAAGCATTTCTAAGCTCGGACGGTCCTTGATAAGCATATTAACTTTATAAATATCTACACCATGTTTAAACATTCTACCTCAATTAGAAGAGAGAAGAAGGAGGGGGGGGGGGGTCTGCACACAACCCAAACAAAACTAAAAACACAAACCTGCCGTCAGGACACAAAGTAGACACGGACAATGAAAGCAATAAACAACAGATATTAAATGGATTCAGTGGCCATATATATTGTATAATAGGGTATCAAATCACTATTATTCAACGATAGGAACCAAGCTCTTAGGGATTTTCCAGTGTGGTCCAAATTGTCAGTGGTACACGATGGAGAGTCTGGGAAGGACAGTATCTAATCGTTTGGGTGGAACATGCATGTAAAAGAACCCTTAACAGTTGCATTATCATCACGGTCCGGGCAAAATGTCCCTCATGGAACACTGTACGGCGTAAAACGTTAAACCCCATTTCATTTCTAAGCACAGGCGATCCTTGATAGCCATTTAATTATATTTTGTCCGCAGTTTTAACTTTGGTAGGAGGATCCAATTCCATGGAAGGACGAGTGATGGTATGGCACAACGGCTCATTTGGAAGAGTTTGTCGCGATGGTTTTGGACAGGAAGAAGCTCATGTAGTGTGTCGTCATTTAGGATTTAACAAGTATGAATCCATAATGTATTCCAATTCTGTATAACAGATAACGATAATTTTAACACAACGTTTTTAGTCAAATTCACCCAAAATCAATTCGTTAATTATATTTTCGCCATTGATCAGGATCGATTGATTTTATGTGTTGGTTTGTTATATCGGTGAAAAGTCAGTAGATTAAACCAATATGGGGCATTGATTGCGTGTTCATCAGTTGACAGTCTACTCAATCTTTCGGAACGAAACTGTAATGATATACATCGTGCCAATGTGTGTTTTATCTTTCTATTTAATAGCAATGAAGATGTTAATCCTGATATAGCGACCCTGATATTAATGTTGAATTTATAATCTCCACCGTCTGTATCAACTTTCTATTTAATAGCTATGTCGGTGATCCTGATATTAATGTTGATTTGTGAATCTCTACTTTGTGTATCATCTTTCTATTTAACAGTGATGGTGGTGATCCTGATATTAATGTTGATTTTGGTAACGGATCAGGCCCTGTTCTGGTATCTAATATTAATTGTAAAGGAAATGAGTTATCTCTAAGTGCCTGCAAACATCCAGCATTTAGATTCGGAGAATGCGGTTGCACACCGGACGTCTCGGTCGTTTGTAAATGTAAGTCTATAACACAAATCATTGGATTACATTTCGGTTTTAAAACGTCACAAGTCATTCTCAGAGGACATCTACTCTCGTAAGTTATAAAATATTGTAACACTATGTGTGTATATCTTTAATTTAAACTAAAGATATTACAAAACTGTGGTAAAGTAAGATTATTTCCAAAACGGATGATATCGATGACCTTGTTCTTAAGTATACGCGATCGATAAGGTTTAATAATAGCCAATAATACAAACCGATCAGTCTAAATCAACACTTCATTTTGAAATACATCAAAGCGGTTTAGTTTATTATTTTTGATATTTTAGATCTGCTTTCTTCATTTATAAACTTTGCATTTAAAGGGGGGGGGGGCAACGATTTTCATCAAGGTTTCCATAAATCTTAAATATATATTTATATAGAATCCACGTGATGTTTATAATATCCTAAATACAGCCCATTTGATCAGAATTTTGGCCAAAGGACGACGCATGGACAGCCAGCAAACTTATGTCAAATCTGTATGCTTACTACAGAGACCAGTGAGCGTGTTGAACCAACTACATCATTTCCGGTTTAATAAAAGTTAATTTCTCGCTTACGAAAACTTTTTTGCTTGTTTTACAGAGGGGATTAATTATCAATATATATTTAAGATTTATGGAAACCTTGTTGAAAATCCTTGGTCTTCGCCTTTAAGTAACCGCCGAGATCGTTGGGATATATACATATATTTTAACATGTCAAGAAAGTCCACAAGCTTACACGGAGAGCGGTCATTTTGTCAGACAGTCACAGCCAGATTTTCACGAAATTCAAGCTAAACCTTCATTATGGTGTAACGGTTATATATTTTAAGGGTTTTTAAAATCAAATAAAAATTGTGACATCTAGAGGGGTCACAGGCTAAATACGTGAATTTTCGAACACTCAGGGCCATAATCCAGGAAGTGACGGTCCGATATGCGCAACATATGTTTTAAGTTTCATCAAAATCTGATAAAAATTGACACCTCTGATCTCATGTGGCTAAACGCTAAAAATGTGTGGCTAAACGCTAAAAACGTGAATTTTCTTACAATCAGGGGTCATAACCCAATAACGAGATCTGTTGGATCTAAACTTATCTTCCAAGTTTCGTCAAAATCGGATAAAAATTGTGACCTGTGGAGTTTCCACAAATACAATGTGAATGGACGGGCGGACGGGCGGACGGACGGGCGGGCGGAGAGGGGCGACAACATAGTTCCCAGTTTTAGAGAGATAACTGCTCAAGATATGGAGACCAGTTTTTTTTTGTTTTTTTTGTTTTTTTTGCTTTGCTGTCTTACCACTGTAAATTTTGACGTTTATGCATAATTCGACCCCCTTTTCCAACTCTTTATGAAATTGCTCACGGCGACGTTCTGTAAAATTTAACAGCCATTTTTGTTAATGTTATTTTACAGTAATGTTTTACAGTGCACCTGGGTTATGTGTAGGGTTGGGGCGAGTTAGATCATAAAGTCTGAAATTTAGTCAAGTGGCGTCGTTACGATTCCTAGTTTGTGACGAGTTATGTACACATATACTATTCAAAAAAAGTAGGGGATATTTGATTTTGGGGGCATAATACTAAAATATGCAAATGACTACGAAAAAAGTCACTATAGAACCTAACAGAAGAAACATTTCCAGTTACATGTGACGCCCAAACGCACCAATAGCTACCGCATGGAATGCATGTGATGCTTGGGATCATCATGGGGGTCCAACCCAAGATTTGCACGACTCTGACTTTGAATGTTACAGTCATTGTGGCATTGAATTCCAGGGTGGAAACATCAGTTTAATTGTTTTAGTGACCAGAAAACAAATTTTGATATGCGTCGGCTTACCCAAAATGAAAGGTTACGTGCCCTTGGCATGCTACAGATCGGCACAACACAGGCGGTTGTGGCGCGGACGATGAATGTTTCTCAGTCTGTCATAAGCAGGCTATGGTCCAGATACCGTGATACACAATCTGTACAGGACAGACCACGCTCAGGTCGACCAAGGGCGACAACTCAAGCCCAGGATCGATTTATCCGTACCTTGGCCTTGAGAAATCGTGTCATCACAGCAAATCAGATCAGCGCTCGTCTTCAAACAGACACTGGTGTGAGAGTGAGTGGCCAGACGATTCGGAATCGACTGCATAGGGGTCACCTTCGCGCCCGACGTCCTCGCGTGATCCCTTGTTTGAGAGATCATCACATTCAGGCAAGACGTCGTTGGTGTAGGGATCGTCAACACTGGGATAATCGACGCTGGAGCAATGTGATGTTTTCAGATGAGTCAAGGTTCACTGTTGATTTTTTGGACAGACGTAGGAGGGTGTGGCGTCGTCGAAACGAGCGCTTCCAAGACGTTAACGTCATCAGACATGATCGATTTGGGGGTGGTTCTGTTATGGTGTGGGGAGGCATCACTGTTGCTGGAAGAACGGCTTTACATGTTGTTGCAGGGCGTGTTACAGGCCAGTACTACCGGGACAACATCTTGGCAGTCCATGTTGTGCCGTTCGCACGACGTCATGGCCGCCGTTTCATCTTCCAGGATGACAACGCAAGATGTCACAGGGCCAGGATCGTTACAGGTTACCTCCAACAACAGAACATCACCACATTACCTTGGCCAGCACTGAGTCCCGACCTCTCCCCCATCGAGCATGTCTGGGACATGCTTGGACAGAGGTTACGTCAACGTCAACAACGTCCTGCCAATGTCCAAGAACTTGCTGCTGCGTTGCAACAGGAATGGGACAATCTGGACCAAAATGACCTTAGACGTCTCATTAGGAGTATGCCACGTCGGATCAATGCTTGTATGGCAAACAGAGGAGGATTTACCCGTTACTGACTTGGTTGTGATGCTGTGGTAACTTTGCTGTTTGACCCCGGGTATCATTTTACCCTTATAATGGTCAGTCTGTGCCTTACTTAGTCTAACGATCATTTGGAATAAATCGATGAATGTGAACTTCATTTCATTTTGTCATTTGTTTCTTCGTCAGTTTCATTAGGTGACTTTAATAACACTTAAAAATCAAATATACCCTACTTTTTTTGAAAGTATATAATAAACTACATGTACACGTGTACAATGTTGGGTCATATTTATCAATGCTAAAAGATAACGACTACCAGACTTATTTTCAAAAGGAAATTATAAAGTTATCGGGCCAATTGCTACGATGTATTAGAACAAAAACATTTTGAACTAAATCATGTTCAAGTAAGAATTAACATTTCCATGTAAGTATAAATGTTGCGTTTTCTTTAGAGCTCTGTCGACATTTTGAGTTACATTTGGGCAATATTATATCTGATGGTCAGTCTACCGGTTATTTTAGTTGTTCCAGTGCGACTAGTAAATGGATCAGGACCACATGAAGGAAGAGTGGAGGTGTTTGATAAAAGAGAATGGAAAACAGTTTGTGATTATCAATGGGACGATAAAGATGCATCTGTTGTTTGTAGACAACTAGGATATAGTGGGTAAATATACCACGTGAAATAATATATACGCTTTATACAATAAAACAATCTTAATACAGTAACTAGTGCTGTACTTGAATGAAAATGTTGCCATATTTGGCTGTAATAAATGTTATTATTTGTGTGAATTAGTAGAGGAATATATATAGTTAACTATAGAATATATAAGTTAAGAGAACAGACTTATAGAGCAGGCAGGGAGAGAAAAGGGGTTTGACGTCCACTCAACACAAATTCGGTCATTTCGGGACTTACATATGGTTCAATTTTATTTCAATAATTCGCTTGCGCGTAGGAGTCTTTGGCAGTGGGAGGACCCGGAGAAAACCCACGAGGTTAGACTTTAGAGTAGGCACTCAGGACACAAAGGTAGAACTGCAACAAATACATTACAGATTTACGGGAAGGGTGCGCCTACTCGTCAGCTAAACACGACCAAAGCCGACTGAACAGAGTCGGACACTCTGGCCTTCTGTCTAACACGTTGCCACATTACAGGGATCCTTTTAGTCGCCTTCTACGACACGCAGGACATACGAAGGGTGTATTCTTCTTACATCGGGGGGCGTGATAAAAGAGAATGGAAAACAGTTTGTGATTATTATTGGTACGATATTGCTACATCTGTGGTTTGTAGACAACTAAGATGTAGCGGGTAAATATACAACGTGAAATAATATACGCTCTAGCATATGCAACAATCTTAATACAGTGCTTGAATTAAATTATTGCCATTTTTGGCTGTAATAAACGTTATTGTATTTGTGCGAATTAGTACACGAATATATAGTTATATATTAATTCAGTGTAGTTTTGTTTACAATGAATAGTTGAACGTATAATAATATTTTTAGGACAGGAGCAAGAAGTAAAATAGGCGCTTATTTTGGAGAGGGACGTGGCAATATAGTGGCCGACGTACAATGTAATGGACATGAAGGGTATATAACTGACTGTAGATATAGATCTGTTAGCCCGTGTCGTCATAATAGAGACGTGTCTGTAATATGTAACGGTAAGATTATATTAAAGTATTGTGGAGATTAGTCCCTACTATGTCTAGTTTACCGCCCCATCGCCCCTAATCAAACATAATCGATGTTATCCAGCTTCAAAGTATCGATTGCTTATTGCTCTGTTAACACGGAACAGAAAATACTCATGGTGGAACTTGGTCAACAACTGCGCCTAAAACACCTATTACCGTAAGAACCACTAGTCAAACCATTCATACCCCTGCAACAACTACCGCATGAATAACCACTACTCCCCCCCCCAAACAAACAACAAGCAAGTACTAAAAATCAAGTACCTATACGTTTTCAACAAAAAGGTTCCCAAAGCCTGTAAAAATATACTTATTATTAACTCTTCTACGGGTGTTACACTTTTAGGTTCTTTGAGTCGGTTCTTGATGCCAACACAGGTTTAATTTCAAACGTTACTTTTATTATTCTTCACACTTATCAAGTACAAAACTTCTTATAGTTAAAGACTCCAGAATCAGCATGACGAGGGAGCCATGGTCATAGCTTGGCTTGACACTCTTGGTTCCCAACTAACTTACATGGCCCCTGTCCGGTCTTAACTCAGACGCCCTCGCCTTCACAGAACTATCGCCTTTTTCATTCTTTCTTATATCCCCCTTCTAGACAAAAGATCTGACAAGATTAGACATCTTGCTGGATTAAGCGTTCAGTACAGAGCGCTTTAGAAGACAAAGGACTAATGAGTGAAATCTGGACAACCATCGGTGGGGATAACCGACATAAAGATATTTCAATCAATTCTACTGTCAAGTGTCAAGATGGCACGATAACTATCAATAACATCTGCCTATAGGAAAAAAGGGGTTAATGAGTTATTTCTCCAAAGGATCATATCAACTATTTATTCTTATTCCTTTAGTCACTGTTACTTTTACATTTGTACTTCAGAAACTTCCAAAACTACCAATAGCCCGTTAGCAACTACCAAGACTATAGAATCATCTGTACAATCTTCTACCATTCCCGAAGATATACCAGGTAACGATTAACAAACTGGGATTCCATTTCAAGAACGGTAACCCGTTTTAATTTACAATACATTTTTAACAGCAATATGAATCGATTTCTATTCGCTATTTTATGTAGAAAATGGAACTTTTGATTAGTTTATTGGCAAGGATTATTTTTATTTTACGTAGAAATCTGATAGGCTGACATTAGTGAACATTTGTTTTATTACTTCAGTAGGCTCTCCACCAAATTGCAAACCAGGGGTTCATGAATTTGAATTTAATATAAAAGCTGGCGAACCGTCCTGGGGCAATCTGTGTATGGACATTGGTTCATTTGATAGCAGTTCGCTGTGTTCTGACGACGACGATGCTTTAATATTTAGCATCAATGAAGATCCATTTGGTTTCTTTAAATTGTTTAAACTCGTAAGGAATAAACAAATACTGAAGCCATGTTTGCGCTTTACAGCGCTAGACCAGATACAAGAAGCCAAAGCACCGGTAAGTGTTATTTACGTATGGGTGTTATATAGATGTTGGAGTAATCCATCCAGATATGACTTGTGATCTACTGGAAATACACGTCAGGGGCCAGGTAGAGGGCAGGAGTAAATTGTTATATGTATATGTATCTTGAAAATAGCTAATTTTAAGTCTCTAATTCAATATCATTCAAAGTCGTCGACATTAAAAACACGAATTTTCGGTCAATTTAAATCAACATTGTTGTTGTGATCTTACCGGGAAAAGATGGGCTTCTGATATCCAATATTTAAGGGAAAAAACATTTTACCATTGGTACACAAATTGTGTACCATAATGCGTTTCAGCGCCATTTGTAACACGGGGCTCGAAGAACGAGGCTAGACATATACCAGACGTCATGTCAAACAGTGACCCCATATTCTTTTGTAGAAAGCGTGCGCAATAAATACTATCTGTGGACTGGAATAACCAGACGCTAGACATTGCTATTCGATTGAGACTTCTGGCGTATTTCGGCAAACATAACTGTTAAGTAATTACAGTAAAAACAGAAACGACTGAATGTAAATCAGTTTATATCCATTCATATTACATTATTATATGCGTTGCGACCAATTTGTGTCAATTTCTAGGTCCCAAATATTAGTGATTTAGCTCATTTAATTGAAGTTGTCAAGAACAACATGTCTTTTTTGAACAACATGGATAATAAACCACGATTCAATAATATCTCTTTTTACAGCTTACCATAATAGCAAAGGAAGATTCTTCACAGGGTAGAACAGCAACCCTAAACATATTGATAACATTTAATCGGCCACCAACAGTTGCAAATAGAATTATTAACTGGATTGTAAATATTGCTGAACTTGGCGCACTCGATGTCATAAAGCAATCACAGGCACAGGATTCTGGTAGTATAACACTCACTTCTGTTAGTAAGTATATTTATACTTTTACAAATAAAAGCCATTTTAACAATTAATTACCCTTTCAAATATAGCAACACTATCCACGCTCCATTTGTATGTATTTCCCAGTTGTACCGATACACTGCAGAACGTACACTTTTTTATAACTTCTTTATTGGGTATTATGATGGTTTTAGGTTTCCCATTTATGAATTGTTTTTAATTTTTACCCGAACCTGACTTTCTTGGACTCCTGGGTTCCTGTCGTGGCTATTGACATATGGTTACTAATCGGACTTCGAAGATACTCACTGGGTCTATAAGGTTCAAATTAATTTTTTTCACGTGACACTGATCATCACGAGACGGTTTGGTACCAAAACAATTGAAACTACTGAAGTTAGAAGATCTAAAGACTTGAAGGCCAGGAATTGAGTGGTACAGACACAGTTGGCCCGCAAGAAGATGCAGAAAACTGAATTCAACGGTTTTTATATCTAGGGTAGTTCCCTACCAACAGTCTTCCATAATCTGATATGCAGATCTGGGAGATAATCGATAATTAATTCAGGATAACGGATGATGATGTGAAATGCCTTACATACAATGTCAAATATCTTGGAAAGGGACAATTTAGTGATTTCTACAAGGTTCAAATTAGTTAAATAATTTGTTTACCTGATACAAATTATCAAAAGACCACTTTGGTGTACGAAAACATTGAAAATGTCGATCTTCGATGATCTACTAATAACTCTTGGTAAAATGATTTGGATAAAATGTTTCAGATTACCAAGAGAATAGTTTGGTTTCTGCAACCATTCACAAGAATAAGCTGTACCTGAACCATGGGAAAAATAGCACTGATAATGATATGAAAAGAATAGTCAAATTGCAAGTCAAAGTAGGTTTGTTATTATATCACGCTGTTTTATGTTATGTATACTGTAGCTGTGGGTGCCAAAACACAGTCTAATCTTTATGCCTGGTTTCCACTTGTCTGACCTGATATGGAATGAGGTGCAATTGTCTAATTAGTGGCGTAATTGGAATACCGGCTCAGGGAGAGGGGCATTTAATCTCACTTGTATGAGCCAATTCACGTTCAATCCGTGCAGACGCTCTTCACCCATCGTGCTTCTTAAAAAGTTCTTGAACAGCTTTAACCTGCTAAAGGTCCGTCAGCTTGGGTGAACCGTATCGAGATCATTTGAGGTGATAAAGGGAGTATCTCTGAGCTGGATAGGGTTGTTTTCTAGCACAATTCATTATAATATTATATGAATGATGAGTAGTTATCATATAGCAGAATCTCTCTCAACGTCGCCAGCATAAAATTTGTCGGATCCCCGTTCCCTTATTATCGTCGGAATTACTTGGAATCGAACACTAGAAATTTGTTACAAGATCATGTAATTCAGCGAAAGGATCACCGAAACTATTGATTACTCTGTCCAAAATTTTGAAATAAACAATTGCATTTGAGAAGATCATTTATTTCTAATGTTTCATCATCAGCGCCTTCATCATTGAACCACTTCTTCCTCCTTGTTCGCTTCACCTCAAACCAGGGGTGTGTGCAGGAAAATGTTCGGGTGGGGGGGGGGGCTGTATAGTCTCTCTCTCTCTCTCTCTCTCTCTCTCTCTCTCTCTCTGGCACCTTCGATCATTGATTTTTAGGTAATGGGATCAGTAGTGTGAATCTGTGAAGTGTGGCCCAATATTATTAAACGTGTGTCGATGTTGCTTTTGAATAAAGGGGGTCACATAGATCGACCTGTAGGCCCCATTACTGACGCTTGACGCCCCACATAGATCGACTAGTGACAACGGTCCCTAAGGCATACACGTGGGATGAACTTTCTCGGCCAATGCAGGGATCGAACACGCGACCTCCAGGAAACTGAGCCATCGTGGCCCCCATGATGTAAGGGACCGTTGACATTCTGGTATATCTCGCAGTACACTAGCAATACACATAAAAGGTGCTGTTGCGAAACTTTGTTGTCTGTGTTTGTTTATTAATGTTATTATCAAGCTGAAGTTTTGTTCTTCTATGATTTAGATGTCAGACGATGGTATACCAAGTTTATCAACAAATGTAACAGTACAAATAGTTATAGTAAGGTTAGAATGCACTTCAACTAACAAGATGGCGGTAAATATCGGAGAACTTCAGAGTGTTAAAACTCTTCCAATTGGCCAGATTAATTGTGCGGCTTCTAGAGGATATTCAATCCGTTATGATGGCATACACACAGCACTGCAACAAGGTAGTACTATTATAGTGTTTAAAGGGATTTCAGATTTTTTAAAAACAGTATGACACACACACCACCGTGACGCGTTATATGTGTTCAATTGTAAATGATGTACTGTTAAACATACCTTATGCCAATCTGTTTCTCAGAGTATTACGAAAGTTTTCTAATATCTCTGTAAAAGATGACTGCCTTCAACACATGACGTCATATCACGCGGCGTGAATCATTGGTTAAAGGCGCGTGCATTGTTTACATAAGACGTTACTGATTCGAGCAGAATGGCGCCTTTTACTCATTTTCATACCCATTTACACAAAAATAGGAAATAATTTTTACCTACAAATACTTCAAACGTCTTTATTTATTTTTCTAATACAAACAAAAATGTTTTAGAATTTAATTTGTCTTAGGGAAAAAAAATATTTGGGGCTCATTAAGTCGCATCGATGTCATCCATATCAGTGATTGTCGTGGCCTAGCGAATATTCACTGCGGATCAGTGTGACCTTATGCAAGAGCTAAATATGCCTATTGCAGGTCTTTCTTCAGGCCTGAAATGTTATCTAAATTAGTAATTAGACAGTAATTACTTATCCAGACCATAATCAACTCTCGATGTCATTGCTAGCCTGTAATATTTACTGGATTTGAATCCGATCTACTGCTCAACGCTCATTGATGATTAAATCCAAAAATGAATAATCGAGACTATGTTTTATCGTACCTACTTTAGTAATGATGATCGAGGCTAGGCCTAGAATTCAAAAAGCTAATATCTCGGTTCAGACTGGATCAATTTGACTAAAGTTTAACGCAAATACCCTTTACATTATCTAGTTTTTAACTATTATAGTGAGAACTGTCAGCTCTTTATCTAATCTCCTATCATGCCCCTTTAAGTGATCGAAATATTATGTGTATGTTTATTGTTGAATTTGTGATCAGCATAACGATTAAATGGGACAGTCTGTGCTGTCACGGGGTTTATGAACACACGATTCGTTCAAGTATACAATTTAAGCGCCCAATTAAACGCAATAGCTTAATTATACAGTTTGAACGTTGAGTTATTTAGGAGATAGTGCGAAAACGGTTTATATGGGTTACCCAACTCTTCCGTAGCAGTTGTCTCCCATGTGTCTGTTAGTTACCTGATAAAGGATACTTTTCGATACTCTTTTTTAAACTTTGCCAAATAAGTAATTAAAGCCTATACACCCCAGGAGTACCAGACAAATTTATCCATTTATCACCAACGCCAACTGAACACCGATTGCTGATCTTTCTTTTAAAACGTATCATAGATTCAGTGAGTAGTACATTGCCTCGCTAACCTGGAGGGCCCGTGTTCGGTCCAAACGTTGGCCGCGAAAGTTCACCGGGGTATTTCGGTGTGGTTCCTTTTTGTCAGTGGTGCAGGAAAGAGGGCCTGCAACGGACAACGTATAGTCGTTTGGATGTTACAATAAACCGAAGTCCGTGTACACATTGGCGTACACGTAGCATTTGGAATTCGATATCGCCGCTGCCAGGTAGACTTGCCCTCATAGCACACTGTATGGCGGATGTCCGTCTTCATTAGCCACGTTGGAGCAGAACAGTAGGATGTTAAACCTCATTTCAACACAGATTCAGATAAAACTAGAGTAAAGAGCAGTCCACAAGGAATTAACAAGTTTATCTGGGATTTCCCATATTTTCATATTAAACATTTCAGGACTTGAATTGAGCTTTCATGATGGTATAGTGAGTATAATTCAAGATGGCGTCACCACAATTATGGCTAAAACAAAATTCATCGTTGTTAATGTGATGATGGTTCAGTTCCCGTCTATACATGTCAATGTTAAATTTCAATTAGAATTTGGTAAGTTTTAAACTGACTGCATTCCCAACGCCACGAGCTTTTGTCTGGCGGATAATCCTTCCATTTGGTCCATGACAAGACATGATCTTGAATCTCTATTTTCTGATAAGCACTGTTTATTTAATTGTTCGATTATCACTGCCGAAATCTTTAGCGTTAATATCATGCAAGGTGACATGGGATTCCAAAGTATTTAAAAGGCACTTAATTTATATATCACTATGATTACAGCATTTTATGGAATAATGAGGTTCCAATCTACATACATATCTTGGACAAGAGAACTAACAGATAATTCAACCATGGAATACAGAAACCAAGTAAAGAATGTTACAGACATGGTATGCCAGTTTTTGTTTTAAATATCAGAGATTTGTATCAATATGTATTTCTATAATGTTCTAAATCATGTCTTATATTTACCTATTTCATTTAGCTATTTTATTTACCTTTTCCTCTTCTATCAACAGATAAGTAAAGTTGTAGATAAATCAGTTAGCGTGCATATAATACAGTTCAGGTGGGTTATTTATGCAAATTTAAAATATTATTTACATGTTGATGATTACCAGGTTAAAGACATTATATTTTACACAGTATACAAAACTTGGTATCTGGAATCCGGTGAAAATTTTCATATGTTGTCTTTATACAATCACGATTTTTCGGATAGCAAAATTTCCCACATCAACTGAAGACTAGACGTTATGTCACATTAAATATCTTTAACATATTTCAAATGTAGCTTTGTTCCTTTCATTTCAGGCAAGATTCTTGGGTAGATGTTCACCTCACATGTTCTAGCCAGGCCGTTTGTAAAAAGATCGAATCGTTACTTCTGCACCCTGCTAGTTTTAACGATTCTGGGATTCGCCGTGGGCGAGTCCATTTTAATAACAGAAGTAATTATAGCTGTATTATATGTTAAGCCCAAAATCTGTTATTTGTTGACCATAAATCTATTGTGTAAACAAATTTATGTTTTTGCGTGTCTTTACAATGTGTGTCAATAGCATTACAATTGTCGATTCAAAACAAATTTGTTTATTATTTGGCCCTTCGAAATTGTTTCATCGAGACACAAAAACACCATACACGGTAGCATTTAGTTAAGTAACAATAAATATAACAGCAATGTACTTGTCTATGATGTCACCTTAGGTGGAAGTGGACGTAAAACTCTAGGAGCGAACGAATGAACAGCAATGTGCCGTTGACGATGCATTCACCTAAAGGAAATGTGATACCAGTGTTTAACATTATTTATTATAATATACAATATATGTTGTATTTTGCATACACAAGATGAAGTACAAGTTCTTTGTTATAGTGATAATGTTAAAATTCATGTTAAATCCTTCTCATATATTGATGACGTGTACTTTTAGGTAGCCATATATTTGTTCCAACTCTCAAAATATTGAACAAGGCAAAACACATCCTGGGTGGCGATACTGTTGTCTTCTGTGAGGCTGATGTTATAAAGCCAGTTGGTTCGGTTTCTGTGGAATGGACATTAGATGGTGCCGTTGTTCGACCTTTGTTTTCATCAAGATTTCAAATCTCAACCGGATTTGAGTTCCCGTGGCGATTACAGTCTAATTTAACAATTACAAATATTACAATGATAGACCAAGGTAATGAAATATTACTAACATCACTAGATATCACATGGTGATTTATATAAACTAATAAGTCAAACATGTAATAAGATTATCAAGTTATTGCAGCAATATCACACCAAAATGTTTACAAACATTTATATTAAACGTGATATATCAAGTTATTGCAGTATTATACACATCAGTAGATATTACTCGCAAATGGTTGACATTATACCAAACATTCGATAAGATATATATTGAAATGGTAGATCAAGGCAATGAAACATTACACACGTCACTCGATATCATTTGAAAATAATTCAGTTTAATTTAACAAAGATTAATGAAGCACATTGCTAGATATTGGTAAATCCGACATTAAAATAAGATTTACATTTATAAGGACATGCATTTGAATTCTGGTGGATTTTCAGGTACAGTACAATGTCATATTAGTGACCTAAGTCGTTATGGAAAAGTTGGGAGTATTCCTTTGGCAATTATTTTTCCCCCAACTGTCGGTGTTCCAAAAACCCAGTATGTCAGATGTGGTATAAGCATCAACTTAAAGTGTGAAGTTTTAAAACCAGTCGGTGTATATACAACTTTGATGTGGATAAAGGATGGAATTAATATACAAAATGGCAAGTATATATACTATTCAAAAAAAGTAGGGGATATTTGATTTTGGGGGCATAATACTAAAATATGCAAATGACTACGAAAAAAGTCACTATAGAACCTAACAGAAGAAACATTTCCAGTTACACGTGACGCCCAAACGCACCAATAGCTACCGCATGGAATGCAGGTGATGCTTGGGATCATCATGGGGGTCCAACCCAAGATTTGCACGACTCTGACTTTGAATGTTACAGTCATTGTGGCATTGAATTCCAGGGAGGAAACATCAGTTTAATTGTTTTAGTGACCAGAAAACAAATTTTGATATGCGTCGGCTTACCCAAAATGAAAGGTTACGTGCCCTTGGCATGCTACAGATCGGCACAACACAGGCGGTTGTGGCGTGGACGATGAATGTTTCTCAGTCTGTCATAAGCAGGCTATGGTCCAGATACCGTGATACACAATCTGTACAGGACAGACCACGATCAGATCGACCAAGGGCGACAACTCAAGCCCAGGATCGATTTATCCGTACCTTGGCCTTGAGAAATCGTGTCATCACAGCAAATCAGATCAGCGCTCGTCTTTAAACAGACACTGGTGTGAGAGTGAGTGGCCAGACGATTCGGAATCGATTGCATAGGGGTCACCTTCGCGCCCGACGTCCTCGCGTGATCCCTTGTTTGAGAGATCATCACATTCAGGCAAGACGTCGTTGGTGTAGGGATCGTCAACACTGGGATAATCGACGCTGGAGCAATGTGATGTTTTCAGATGAGTCAAGGTTCACTGTTGATTTTTTGGACAGACGTAGGAGGGTGTGGCTTCGTCGAAACGAGCGCTTCCAAGACGTTAACGTCATCAGACATGATCGATTTGGGGGTGGTTCTGTTATGGTGTGGGGAGGCATCACTGTTGCTGGAAGAACGGCTTTACATGTTGTTGCAGGGCGTGTTACAGGCCAGTACTACCGGGACAACATCTTGGCAGTCCATGTTGTGCCGTTCGCACGACGTCATGGCCGCCGTTTCATCTTCCAGGATGACAACGCAAGATGTCACAGGGCCAGGATCGTTACAGGTTACCTCCAACAACAGAACATCACCACATTACCTTGGCCAGCACTGAGTCCCGACCTCTCCCCCATCGAGCATGTCTGGGACATGCTTGGACAGAGGTTACGTCAACGTCAACAACGTCCTGCCAATGTCCAAGAACTTGCTGCTGCGTTGCAAAAGGAATGGGACAATCTGGACCAAAATGACCTTAGACGTCTCATTAGGAGTATGCCACGTCGGATCAATGCTTGTTTGTCAAACAGAGGAGGATTTACCCGTTACTGACTTGGTTGTGATGCTGTGGTAACTTTGCTGTTTGACCCCGGGTATCATTTTACCCTTATAATGGTCAGTCTGTGCCTTACTTAGTCTAACGATCATTTGGAATAAATCGATGAATGTGAACTTCATTTCATTTTGTCATTTGTTTCTTCGTCAGTTTCATTAGGTGACTTTAATAACACTTAAAAATCAAATATCCCCTACTTTTTTTGAATAGTATAAAGTGATTTATAAATTAATTAAGTGTCTTATTTTAAGGTTTAAAATAACCATAAAACAGTAGAATTTTCCTTTGGTGAAGTCCAAGTACTGTTACGTAATATCTGGCTTATTGACCTGTCGTGTCTATAGAACTATATTTCATTCTATTTCTGTTTTCTAGGTTCTGATTTGAACAGAGTCGTGGCCAGGGATACCAATTTAACATGTATTGGATCAAACATAGCCGGTCGGGGTAAAGGCAACACAACCAAAATAATTATCATTAAAGGTACTAAATGTAGTATAATTAGCTAAATGTCCTGGTCTCTTTGTATTGAATAATGAGAAAATGTTAAATAATGTAAAGACAAAGAAATGATTCTAACCTAGATTTATATTTTGTGACGCACTCTTCGACAACATTTTCGTATTCTTTGCGAAAATACAAACTCGGGGTATTTTGTGTCCTTTTCACAAGCTTAAACGTTTTTCTATGATTTAAGGACCGCTAACCTGTCCACGCGATACCGACGAAAGAGGAACACATTGGTCGGAAGCGTCACCAGATGCCACAGCTGAACAGTCTTGCCCATTGGGATACGCAGGTAATATTTCACGCAGTATAATTGAAAATACAACGACAATTTAATTCGTTTGTTTGTAACACCACGACTTGGCTGTATGGGGCTAGTTCAGTAAAGATGGGAATGTGACTGGTCGACCCCAGGGGACACCAAATCTAGAATTAAATTAAGCCTGTTCGTTTGGAAATGCCTTAATAATAGTAGACTTAAGGCTACCTCCTACGGTCACTAAATCGCTGACTCTTCTTCGAAATCTGTAGTCCGTGAGATATGTTCATGTACTATAATCAGGTTTCTATAGAATTCTTTGATGAGTTGACATATAGCTACGATATTCTGTCGCATATTTTTCTTATATTATCTTAATTGACAAACTTTCCCAGTCATCATTAGCCCAGTAGGACTTTTCATTTCCGTTCTGTCTTTATAGGTAGTGTATCTAGATATTGTAATAGCGATGGGAAGTGGTTGACGGAAGATTACAGTTCATGTATTCAAGCATCATTGACAACCATCATGAATCAGGTTACGTTATTATAACCCTAACCTTAACCCTACACATGTATTGAGCTAAATATAGCATGACAGTTTTTTTTGTTTAATTACATCATTTTCTTCAGTTTAGCTTTTCTCGATATAAATTGAATAGTAGTTGGGATTCTGGACAATAGTGATGGGATATGCGATGCAAGAAAGACTCATTTCGATGTAAAAGAAAATAATATGTTTATACAAACAGAATTGACCTTCAATCACAGAACTATATAATGTAATTGACCATCCGACAGGGAAACATACATTTTAACAGATGACAATTATATAAACGGAATTTGTTATTTATGACACAATTCCCTATATATCTTCAATCACAAAATCATCAAATTCGTAACAGCCTAAATCCGTCCATAACAAATGTCTTATCACTCTTAAAATTTAAACATGAACTCTCTAAACATGATCCGCAAAATACTTCTTTTCCTTTTTATCAATTCATTTTTTTCTTCTTTGTTTTTTCAATATATTGTATATAACGTAATTTATTTGTAACCGGGAGAGGGGTTTATATAGGCTTTGCCTGTTCCCCAATCCCCTCAGTTTCTGAATAAATATTGTTTAAAAACAAATAATCGTAAAAGACCGCCCGAAATGCAATGAAGTGTAATAGACCGTCCAAAATGTATTTCATTTTGTTTATTTATTTGGGTTATTTCAGATTGAACAGGTAAAAGCCGGAATTGTTGTGTCCGAACCCGATAAGTTGCTAGCCAATCTGACCAAAATAACCAAACAATCTAAATTAGAGAAGGGCGAAATTCTTCATATGATAAGTGCTATGAAAACCCTGACACAAATTACAAATGAAACAACCCAAAACTCGCCCTCAGCCCAGAATAAAACTAAACATTTTGCTAAGGTAAGTGATTACACTATTAGCCTATATATTTAACATTTAATGTAAATCTAATTTTAACCTTTTGATCAGTGATCAATTTGAGTATTTGTGGGGTAGATACAAAGTATATAAATATGTTCACTTTCTACTGGAATTTTATTTGTTTGTACAAATCGTGGGTTCAGTTGTATTGGTATTCATATTTGTAGGAATCAGTAATACTGGTCAGCGCATTATTTGACTCTGAGCAATCTGAAAATATGAAGACACTTGAATACGAGGTAACAATATTCATAATTTACATATTATAGTCACAAGACATACAACAATTGAAGGTCATTTGCCTAAAATCTAAAGGAACCAAATTCCATACAAAAACCCGGTGGTATGTATTTGTGAAGGATCATGCCCATCGGAGACATCAGTAGACTAAGCTATTTTCTTTTATTTTTGTTGAACGTTTTTAAAACTATTTGGTGACTTTATTATCATATACAAAATATCTATTATTTGTTTCCCTCATTTAGAATAGCAGTATAATCCAAGATTTAATGGAAACGATGGACAAAGTGAGTAAACTAGTTGGGGAAAATCTACCGGATGGAAACTCCGAGACATTTCAATCCGAAAATATTGGTAAGATTTATAATATAAAGGGTGTTCAATACAAAATCAATTAGTGATTTTGTTTTGCAATATACTAAAGGATTATTCAATACAAATAATCGTGATTATTATTGATGCGCTATGTCATTTTCTAACATTAATATATGTTTCGAAAATATGATTATTTTGTGTTTACAAATTGACGAGGAACCGGAAACATACCTGTTGATACTGATACAAATTCTGGAAAAAATGCTCAAAGAGTAACGTGACTATTGCGTCGTTGTTTCGTAGTGTGTTTGCTGGTTGTAATATACTATGTCAAAAAAGAAACGCATGGGCGTGGCAGTCGTCCTGCAGTGCATGTGGCAGTTGCGGAAGCGTCAGGGACATCGGGTGAAGCCGACATAGATGTCTGTCCAGTTCATCCCAAGGATATTCAATCGGGTTGACATCTAGCGATCTTGGTGGCTATAACAGCAAATTAATGTTCTCATTCTGTAGGAAATCAATTATTACACGTGCCGTTTTACGTGCTCTTAATCATCCAAAATGGGAAGCATGTCGCTGTTAAGAATTCCATCCCGGAAGTAAACACCTGTTAGGTTATTTTTTACGAGAACAAGTCCACTTCTGCTGGTGTAGGAGATGGCTTCCAACATCATGACACACCTCTACCGAATGTGCCAACTTGCTCAAAGCAGTTGTTGGCAAAACATTCATTGCGACGCCTGTGCATATGCTGTCTTCCATTTCGTGGTTGTAAATGGAAACGTGACTTGTCGCTTAACAATAATCGTCGCCAGTTTCCAAAGTTCCACCCCTGTTTATTCATACATCAGTGAACCCGTAAACGTCGAGGTCGAGGTCACAGGAGGGGCCAAAATAGGGTTTGTTAGCTTATAAATCAGCTTCTCGAAGTCGGTTCCGAATTGTTTGTGCATGCACCGTCACATACTGCAGTTGTTATACGACTTCTTCTACTTTGGGGACGGTTTTATACTGATTAGAACTGTTGGTACTTATCTCAGAGGCCCGGAATAGTGCTCTGATACACGTTCGTGTGTTGTATGACAAAATACGCGATTAATCTACCCGGAGGTGGATTCGGCGAGTTTAGTCTTGGTTTCTTGTCACTGTCGTCATTGCGAGCATCGTAGCTTTAAATTCCCACCACTACCGAAATCTTCTTCCCCTACTTTGGCGTGCATTCGAAAAAAAATCTGAACAGTTCACACCCATTTCCTGCAATGTACACACAGCTTGCTTGTGCTTAGATGACATTTGGGCATGCTATCCCATTGCAGAAACATGGGCATGCGCCAACATTGTACAAATAACGATATTTTGTAAAACCTTTTTCTTCTGTCCACATCACCTATGCGTTTATTGTTTGACAGGGCATAGTTATGAAACGTAGTTAAAGCGTCGTGATTACGTAGTGTGTTTGCTGGGTATAATACTATGATTAAATTACTATCTGTATTAATATCAACCCTAAACAAGGCGATATAGAACTAATATCAACCCTAATCCGTGTAACTGCTTACTATAATTAATCTGATCATTACCAATGATTGTTGAACACGATATTCGTCGTGTTGCATAGTGGAGATGATTTGGACTATTTGCATTCAAGTATGCTACTACCTTAAGGTCTAGGTGTTATTCTCACTTTTAACAGCCATAACAACATAGTTATGATCAGAGTAATTTAAATATCATAACAAGCTAATGGTAATTATTTTACTCTAAAAGACCATAATAATAATGATAATTTAAATGATCAGAACAAGCTATAAATGATAAAGATTGTACTTTATCATAACAAGCTAGTGATAATATATAAGATCATAAAAAGCTAATGATAATTTAAAAGATCATAACAAGCTAATGGTAATTTAAAAGATCATAACAAGCTAATGGTAATTTAAAAGGTCATAACAAGCTAATGGTAATTTGAAAGATCATAACAAGCTAATGGTAATTTAAAAGGTCATAACAAGCTAATGGTAATTTAAAAGGTCATAACAAGCTACTGATAGTTTAAATAATCATAACAAGCAATCAGGATTATTGTATTTTTGTATTATAGGGTGTCCTTTTTTTCATCTTTCACTGTGGCCTGAACAAAAAGGTAATTAAAATATATCCATCTTTTTTTTAAAAGTAACACATTAATATGCGTGACATATTAAAGTAGACACAACAGTTCTACTAAGGCAGTTGTGGTATATTCAAATAGATGCAACAATTCTATGGAAAGTAATTACTGCATTTTAATCCAAACCATGTTTCTACAATATTTTAATAGTCAGAACGCACGAAATACATACAAATTTACAATCATAATGTCAATTTAAATGTATGGAAAAAGATTCATAATTGATCGTATGTAACAACTTCCAGGCCGGACATGGAATTTATTCAATTTTATTTGCAGGTGAGGGAGGGCTTGGCCATACATCATCGACTTCTTTCAGGACCATCAAGTTCAAGGTCAATGTCTGAAAATGTAAGTAGAAGTTTTGTGTAAAGAGTAGGCGATGAGTGTGTGTGTGTGTGTGGGTGTGTGTGTGTGTGGGGGGGTGGGTCATAAGCCCCGTTATCGATGAAAGTCGTAGGTATGGTCTCCATCTCGGCTTGTATATAACAAAGTGGAGGAGCTCCGTTAGGGAAATGTAAATTCACACAGGATTGTGCTTAGCTAAGTAATTGATCCCTGCGTAGGCAGTTTATCTGCTAGAGTCGAAAGGATATAAAATCCCTACACAATGACGTCATAATTTTAAGTAAAACCAATGTAATGATTTACTTAAAGGAATGATTCATGTATTCATGTAAACAAGACATTCTCCGGGAAATACATCTTAATTTATACTTCTGATAGTTAAAATGTTTTGTCCACTAAAACAACAATATAACGAAAATACAAATTGGAATCAATCCGAATGTGTGACGCCATCCAGTGAAGAACCAGTTAACTGTTGGCAAACACAGCCTTGTCGCTGAAATTTTATGACCGGTACCAATATTTCTCAACCAGAGAATAGCCCCGTTCCTTTCCGCTGGTATTCGATGTGGGTTTGGTTATTTTAAAGTGGGCCCAATTCCGATTTTGCCGGTCTTAATTAAACACTCTAACGTTTTACATTTAGGCATGTCGTCTTTAATGCCAGTCCATTCTAACGACAACAGTTAATCTAAAGTTTGAGTGGTTGAGTATTATTGAATACCAGAATATGGTGCCGTCATTATATTATTGTAATAGAGCATGTAAGCAAAATAACATGCTTGGGTGAACTTTTCCTTTAACAGATTTGACGTTACCCTGACTGCAAATTCACCATTACGACCCTTCATCAATTTCAGATAGGCTGCTTTGCAGGAAGTGACGTAACGGAAAAAACTGAAACTAATTCTGGTGCTCCTAAATATGGTGAAACATTTGCGGATTAAACACTGGGCAATGATGATCTTTCATCTCCCGTGGTCATTGAAATGTAAATTGGTATAACCCAAGAAGAAGGGATGGCCAACTTTTGATAAAAATACCTTATTGTATTCCGAACTGCTCTTCAACAGACTTGTAATGAGGCTTGATATTGATTTTATTGATGATTAATTGCACGGTATTTTGTTTTTATTATTTAATTGTTCTTAAAAGCACTCACAAGGCCTTTATAAAAAATGTATAATCCCAGTTAATCTGATATTATTATTGTTATATATATATATAAGATAAGATCTGGTTTTAATTCGCCTCTGACCAAGTTAATTTGATTTGATTTTATTTATATCTAATATTGTTATATTTCACCTTATATTATAATGTGTAGCACCATGGGCCTTTATGTCTGACGTGGAGAGCGGAAGATGTCAGACCGGTCGCCACATCCTACATACGACCCATGCATCTTTTCTTACTACATATTTCTGTAGCCTTGTGATCGTCTAGAATTTGTCTCTAGCTGTTTTTACTCCTGCTTCTGTTTTCTTAAAACGTTTGTCTTACCAGGAATAACAATGCAACAATACATGTATACAAGTATAACACAGATTACAATACTAGCTAAAACCATTTCTCCACCCTATATAGCCAGCCTAGCGGCTATCTAGGAACTCAGATGGAACCTCTCTGGAATCTAATGGAAGTCCAACTTAAAATTTTACTATGATTTCTTTTATAAGACTCATGCATATCACGCACAGAAAGCTTGTTCATGACCCTGAACCGGTGCAATTAACGATATGATTGGTTACTTTAAGCCAAATAGTGCAATTAGAATAATTCGACTCACGTGTAATCTCGTGGTATTTTATTGACACATACAACTAGCTATGCTTTGGCTCTATAACTCTTTTTATGTGTCAACTGTCAATTACAGACTAAGTTGATTTAGTACAATTCTCTACCAACTTGCCAAAGATATTAATTAATGAAATATACAGCTATCTTATTTCTCTATTCCTTGCCTTTAAATTTATAAACAATGTCGCAACGATTATATTGCTACAAATGCCTTTGATCAACACAATGCTTATGCAATATTAATGTACTGCACCTAAATAATCAAACTGATCAGCAGTGAATATTTGCTAGGCCGCTACAATCACTGATAAGGATGACATCGATACGGATTAATGAGCCACAAATATTAACTTTTTTTCCTTCGACAAATTAAATTCCATGTAAATATTATTTTTGGATGTAAAAATTATTTCCTATTTAGTGTAAATGGCTATTAAAATGAGTAAAAGGCAACATTCTGCCCGGACCAGTAATGTCTTGTGTAAACAATGCACGCGCCATTGAGCCAATGATTGACGTCGCGTTATATGACGTCACGTGTTGAAGGGAGTCATATTTTACAGAGATATTAGAAGACTTTCGTAATCCTCTGTGAAACAGATTGCTACATTTCACAATACAAATATTCTGTACATTAATTTGATATTTTAAAATTTATAACTAATATTGTTTATATTTTTTACTTTAGATTATAAAGCTTTGATCTACCTATTTCTTTGGAAAATATTGATGCACTGCACCAAAATAATACGTTATGTTAGATTTCGCTCTACAAATATTATGTAACTTGTAGTTTACATTTCTTAAGGAATTCATTTGAAAATAAAACCCCAAATAAATGTATTTACACAATTTTATAATATCCCGTCTTGTAAATATGGATATATTTATTAGGGAGTGAAACACTCTTCTTATTATTTATATAATCACCAGCTATATAAATTACTAATTATTAATGGTTTTAATTAATTGTGATCATACACCAGGTTAATAATAAAATCATTTGGCTATAATAACTGTATTTGAGTTGAGTTATTTTTTTTACATGTAATATGAAGTCAAATTTTAGGTACCAGTTATGTTATAAGCAAAATTAATTTCTTTGGTCTTATGCCCCACGAAGTCCCTCTTGTAATTTGGCTATAGAAGATCTCAATTGTTGACAATTTCCACCACATGTACTGTAGGCTAAACCTTAAGAATGAATTTAATGCCCATAAGTACAAATGTCAAAAAAGTGTCTAATCCGACTTGCATCAATGTTTCAGGTTTACTATGACATACACATGTTATAGTATATATATATATATATATATACCTTTCTTGTTGTATTATACTTTCATTGTTAAACAGTTTAGAGCTTTTTTATTGTTACTTGTTCAGAACATTTGATGAGAAAGTAAAGCCAAAATCACGGAGATGTTGTGCGTTTATTCAGTGCTCTAATGGTGAACATAAATTGGAGAAATGGAGATGTCAAAACTGTGATATTCATAACTGTAACAAAGTAACAGGCTCTTGTATTTGCGATCCCCCATTTTGCTTATTCTCTTTTCCTACCGAACTTAAAGATCCAGAGGGCAGACAGAAGTTGACATCCATTATAAACAGGAAGAAAGGGAATAAAATTTGGCTTCCATCTTCTGATTCTCGAGTTTGTTCCGTTCACTTTGCTAATGGAAATCCAACCGCTGCTAACCCATATCCATCACTACATCTTGGATATGAGTCTCGTAGAGAGATTAAGGCTCGTCCACCTCCTACAGCACGTGAAAATGTAGATCATGTCCCCAAAAAATGCAGGAAGTCGCAAAATATTAATAGTAATTGTAATATCAATGAAAACTCTGAGACAGATGACTGTTCTGAATCCTTACCATTAGATCTTACATATAATGTTGATCACAGCTACTCAGTTTAACCACTGCCTACTCTGATACTGAACTTCAGCTGCCAAGGGATCTTTTATGTGCACTTCAATGTGAACACGGGACCGTGGATTTTCATCCCATCCAGATGACTATACATTGTCCTTTGCCAGACCCTCTGTCCCACACCACTGACAAGGGGGAACCAACATCTTACTCATTGAGCCACCATGGCTGCTTTTAAGGACAAAGATATGATACATATAAATATAGATCTACCTTTGAAAAGGTATGCTGTAGGTAATACATCAAACAATGCTTTACTTAGTTTGTCAAGTTCATTGTGCACCTCAACAGGCTGAAAAGGTATGCTGTAGGTAATACATCAAACAATGCTTTACTTAGTTTGTCAAGTTCATTGTGCACCTCAACAGGCTGAAAGGGTATTGCACCTCAACAGGCTGAAAGGGTATGCTGTAGGTAATACATCAAACAATGCTTTACTTAGTTTGTCAAGTTCATTGTGCACCTCAACAGGCTGAAAAGGTATGCTGTAGGTAATACATCAAACAATGCTTTACTTAGTTTGTCAAGTTCATTGTGCACCTCAACAGGCTGAAAAGATTTATTTAAAGGGGTGACAAGTGATCTTGTGTTTCCTGCAAATAATAAAGTAATAGCACATTAGTTAAGCAGTAAAATAATTCAAAGGTTGTTCACCAAATTTTGATTTACCCTATAGATGTAAGTAAAACTATATAGTTCATGGGTTCGATTCCGGTGTTGGGCGAGAGAGTTCATCGGCATTTTTCGGTGTGGTTTCCCAATGGTGAAAGACATTCGATATAAGAGTAGACCGTAGCGCCGCTGTCTTGGCAAATATCCCTCATAGCGCACTGTGTGTTGTATGCCCATCTTTATAAGCCCAGTCGGAGCAGAACAGTAAACCCCATTTCATTTCGGTAAAACAATCTGCACATCGCTAAAAACAAGATGGACAACTGTTTTGCTTTTCTGGGACAATCTTTGATGTTTTATCAACGCTGAGTAATAACTTCGATCGCTTGACTGCTCATACTGACTAGCGTTTGTTTGGATTTGTTTCATCTGTTTTGTAATATTCTTGAGAATTAATGATAATAGTTAGTTTGTCATGGTTTTCAGTTTATTATCATTATCATTATCATTATCATATATCTTAAGGTCTTGATATGTACATGAATGGGGATCACGTGGCTAGGTGGGTAAGACGCTAGCTCGCTAGCCTGGAGGTCGGGTGTTCGATCCCTGCATTGGCCGAGAAAGTTCATCCAGATTTTCCGGCGTGGTTCTCCCTTGTCAGTGATGCAGGACGGAGGGGCTGACAAGGAAAGCTGAAACACTACTGGGTGCAGATGATACAACAGCAAAGGTGTCGATATAACAGCCAGGCTTAAAGTAACGACGCAACAATAACCACCCCTGCACGTTTCAAGTCAGTAGCTTGAAGCGTATATATGGTATTAGTGTCAGTGGCTTGTGGCACGAAGTAACAGTATATTGTCGCATACATAATATATTATGTCAACGCTTGGGCGATATAATATATTGTGTTGACGCTAGGGCAGGGTTAGGGTTAGGGTTAGGGTTAGGCTCGAGCTGTTCCTATCTGAAAGCTGAAAGAAAGTTTACACACGTATCCCAGAAATGGTTTATATAATTTTAATTTCACACGTGACGGTTGATTATAGGCCTACTATTTTCTAATATTAACAATATAATCTTTTACAATTGTTATCGGTGCCATCTTGTTTTTTGTTCATGCCTAGTCACCTCCATCCTAGTTCCAAGCGTTGACATAATATATTATATCGCCCAAGCGTTGACATAATATATTATGTATGCGACAATATACTGTTACTTCGTGCCACAGGCCACTGACACTAATACCATATATACGCTTCAAGCTACTGACTTGAAACGTATCGCCTGCAATAACACATTTCTCACGACATAATTTGCGATCTCTTGTATCCAGATTCATTATTAAATTTTTAATTAAGATAACAAAATCAAACAAATCAACGCTAGATAATCGCCCGGCTTGGATTCGATCAGATTTAAAATAGACTTCTGCCAATAAATATGTATGCAGACAGCATAAATCGATAAAATTACAAGTCCACACATCTTTGTTTTGTACACGCAGCCAGTCTTCGTCGACGTCTACTGGACACAGCCTAGGTCATTTCGGGACTAACATGGTTCAATGTTATTTCAATAATTCGCTTAGGCGTAGGGGTCTTTAGCAGTGGGAGGACCTGCAGTACAACCGGGGAAATCGAAATCACGTCAGTTGACTTAATGACAGACATCATGATACAGCGCGCACGCGCTAACCATTCGGCCGTGACCCCCTCCCCTCCCCTAGTTATTCATGTACATGAAATGAAATGGGGTTTAACGTCCTACTGTTCTGCTCCTAACCTGGGCTAATGAAGACGGGCATACGCCAATGTGTACACGGGACCTCGGTTTTTCGTCCCATCCGAACGACTAGACAGCTTTCCTTGTCAGCCCCTCCATCCTGCATCACTGACAAGGGAGAACCACGCCGGAAAATCTGGATGAACTTTCTCGGCCAATGCAGGGATCGAATACCCGACCTCCAGGCTAGCGAGCTAGCGTCTTACCCACCTACCTTAAGATATATGATAATGGTAATGATAATGATAATAAACTGAAAACCATGACAAACTAACTATTATCATTAATTCTCAAGAATATTACAAAACAGATGAAACAAATCCAAACAAACGCTAGTCAGTATGAGCAGTCAAGCGATCGAAGTTATTACTCAGCGTTGATAAAACATCAAAGATTGTCCCAGAAAAGCAAAACAGTTGTCCATCTTGTTTTTAGCGATGTGCAGATTGTTTTACCGAAATGAAATGGGGTTTACTGTTCTGCTCCAAATACAATTCTCCAAATACAATTCTTGCAAAACATTTCTCCAAAAAAATTTCTTCAAAAACATTTCTCGAAATTCATCGAACCGGAACATTATGACGGCATGAGCCGAAATCAACCTGGCATACAATAAGTCGCCATATAATGAAGGAGAATCGATCAAGCATAATATACAATAAGAAAAATCGCTCGATGACTGTGACTTTAGTGAAATCACATGCGTATATTGGTAAATATGATCTAGCATTAAATAAAATAAATTGAAAGTAGTGTATTTTTAGTAATTAGGTTATTTTTTGATAGCGACATATTTCTTTGGACAAACGAAAGAGGACTTTATCTCTTCTAAATCATGTAATCATGAATGTCCCAGTAAAATAGCTAGTACGCGAAAGACAAATACTTTCCGGTGAAGCATTACACGATAACAGGAATTTCATATTAAGACGCGTATTTTGACTTTTAAACATACCCCCTCCCATCCCCTTCACTAGATAGAGTTCAGACGATCCAAATTGTATCTGCTTTAACAAGGTACGTAAATATGCATATGTCAGAAAATATTTTAGAATTTGGAAAATGTATTTTAGAATTTGGAAAATGTATTTGGAACTTTTTAATGGTATGCATCCCGATATCTTGTATTGCGTGTTATGACCCGTATTTTGACGTTAAATAACCCCCCCCCCCCTCCGCTCTCCTCATTTAATACCGATTAGTGCCAGTCTAATTTTTCTCTTTTTTCAAGGTATGTAAATATAAATTTACATTTTGCAGCAAGCAAAAAACATTCTTTGTAGCAGTATATGAACAGATATCGAGAATTTCTTATTCAGATCTTTTTTAAAAATAAATTAAATACCCCTCCCCCTCCCCTCCCTTAATAAAATTTAGTACCGTGAAACTTTGATCTTTTTTCAAGGAGTGTAAATATAAATGTGCCAGAAAATAACCTGAAAAGGTGTACGGTATTAAACTCTGTTAAGTGATGGAGAGGGGGTGGGTGGGGTATTAGGTGACGCTAAATATTAAGTTATTGGGGGGGGGGGGGTGCTGGCGGGGGATTTAAAATTTAAAATATGGGTTATGGTGTAATGTTTGACCGGAAAGTATTTTGGTATCCCTTTTTCAATATATTACTTATTCCCTGGTACATTCATGAAAACACGAAGAGATAAAACACTGTGAACAATGGAGTGGGGGG